AATTCTCACATTTTCGCAATCAGAGATCCACATCATATCCTCAAATGAAAGATCATAATGAAATGAGACAAGTAAAAGGGAAGGATGTGGCTCAATCTTCAAAGGCACACGATAATACTTGTTATCGGTGTGGCATGACAGGGCATTGGCAAAGTATATGTCGTACACCTAAGCATCTGGCTGAACTTTACCAAGCCTCAATGAAAGAAAAGGGAAAACAAAAGGAAATGAATTTCCTTAATCATGATAAGCCAGTTAACACCACAAATCTGGAAATGAATTTCATTAATCATGATGAGCCAGTTAACATCACAAATCTGGATGTTTCAGATTTTTTTGAGGACCATGATGAAAGGATAAACTTCCTAATCGGTGATGGAAATGTCCACACCAATTAATCTTATTTTCTTTTCATATTCTGTCTAATATGTTTGTATTTTCCTTGTATTAAAGTTTTTATCCTCTAGTTTGTATTAAAGTTTATTTTGTTATAAAAGTTTATTTTCTAATAAAAAAATTTGCATGAATAGGAATGGATCTGACTAGTTCAAATATAAATGGAGAAGACATATGTCTTGCAGATAGTGGAATAACACATACAATCCTTCGAGATCAAAAATATTTTTCCCACTTAATTCTGTCAGATGCCAGTGTCAGTACCATATCAGATCCCACTGACTTGATTGAAGGCTCTGGACGAGCAAACATCATTTTACCACATGGAACAAGATTACAAATCAATGATGCCTTATATTCTACAAGATCTCGGAGAAATCTATTGAGTTTTAAAGACTTGCGTCGTAATGGGTATCATATTGAGACTGCAAATGAAAGAAATGTGGAATATCTCTACGTTACTTCCATTACCTCAGGCAAGAAGCTAATATTAGAAAAACTCCCTATTTTCTCTTCTGGGTTATACTATACAACCATTAGAACAATTGAGTCAAATGTTGTGATTCATAAAAAAATCTTGTAACCCAAAACTTTTTATACTTTGGCATGATCGACTTGGTCATCCAGGGAGTACAATGATGCGTCGAATTATTGAAAATTCACATGGTCACCCATTAAAGGATCAAAAAATCATCTTACCAAATAATCATCTATGCACCGCCTGCTCACAAGGTAAGTTGATTATCAGGCCATCCCCTTCAAAAGTCATTATTGAGTCTCCTTCATTTTTACAACGAATTCATGGGAATATATGTGGGCCAATTCATCCACCCTCTGGACCATTTCGTTATTTTATGGTCTTAATTGATGCATCAACACGATGGTCACATGTTTGTCTTCTTTCTACTCGTAATGTTGCATTTGCTAGACTCTTTGCTCAAATTATCAAATCACAGGCACATTTTCCTGATTACCCAATTAAGACAATTCGTTTTGATAATGCCGCTGAATTTTCTTCTCAAGCTTTTGATGATTATTGTATGTCAGTTGGAATTAATGTTGAATATCCTGTTGTACACACTCATACTCAAAATGGTATGACTGAATCTTTTATTAAAAGACTTCAGCTAATTGGTCGTCATTTGCTTATGCGAACAAAATTACCTGTTTCTGTCTAGGGTCATGCCATATTACATGCTACATCATTAGTTCGTATACGACCAACTGTTTATCATAAGTACTCACCATTACAACTTGTTTTTGGTCAACAACTGAATATCTCCCACATACGAGTTTTTGGTTGTGCTGTATATGTTCCAATTGCACCACCCCAACGCACTAAAATGGGTCCTCAATGTAGACTTGGAATTTATGTTGGTTTTGATTCTCCATCTATTATTAGATATCTTGAACCCGTGACAGGTGATGTCTTTAAAGTACGATTTGCTGACTGTCATTTTGATGATACTGTTTTCCCACCATTAGGGGGAGAAAAGGCACAGCAGTAACGTGATCTTACTTGGAATGCCCTGGATTTGTCTCATTTTGATCCTCATACAAATCAATGTGAACGAGAAGTTCAAAGGATCATTCACTTGCAAAATGTTGCAAATCAATTACCTGATGCATTTACTGATGCAAAGAAAGTGATAAAATCACATATACCAGCTGCAAATGTGCCAGCACAAATTGCTGTCCCTGAGGGACCTTCTGTCAGTAATGCAGCAAATGCAACTAAAACACGCCTGAAACGTGGTAGACCAATCCGTGCAAAAGATATTGTTCCTCGTAAGAGGAAATCACAAAGAAAAGCTGGCACTCCTGAAGAGGCCACAAAAGAGCAATAGATATTATTGATCAATCTGAGATAATAGCTTTTGATAACGCAAAGGCTCTTGATGAGTCTCAGGTACCTAAAAATGATGAAATCATAAATATTGATGAGGCAAAAGCAATAAATGATGATATGGCCCTTGATGAGGCACATGCCCTTGATGAGGCAAATGTACCTGAAAATGATGAGATCTTATTAAATTATGAAACGAGATAGAATAGAAATGAAATTGTTGTCGACAACATATTCTCATATCTCGTTGCTCTTGATATTGAAAATGAGGATTCAGAACCTCAAAACGTCGAAGAATGTCGACAAAGAAATAATTGGCCAAAATGGAAAGAAACGATACAAGCAGAGCTAAATTCATTAGCTAAACGTGAAGTATTTGGACCAGTAGTCTAGACACCTGAGGGTGTTAATCCTGTTGGGTACAAATGGGTGTTTGTACGAAAGCGTAATGAGAAAAATGAAATCGTGAGAGACAAAGCCCCACTTGTAGCTCAAGGTTTCTCACAAAGACCTGGTATTGATTATGAGGAAACATACTCCCTTGTGATTGATGCAACTACTTTTAGATTCATAATACACTTGGCAGTCACAGAAATATTGCATATGCATCTAATGGACGCGGTTACAGCATATTTATATGGATCGCTAGATAGTGATATTTATATGAAAATCTCAGAAGGATTTAAAATGCCTGAAACAAAACCACGTAATATGCACTTAATAAAATTACAACGATCTTTATATGGATTGAAGCAATCTGGACGAATGTGGTATAATCGCCTTAGCGATTACTTACTCAAAGAAGGGTATGTGAACAGTCATATTTGTCTATACATTTTTATTAACAAATCAGAATCTGGTTTTGTTATTGTTGCAGTATATGTTGATGATCTGAGCCTTGTGGGAACATTAGACGAGATCGAAAAGACGGCCAATTATTTAAAGAAAGAATTTGAAATGAAAGATCTCGGAAAGACAAAATTCTGCCTTGGGCTGCAGGTTGAACATTTTTCGAACAGTATTCTCATCCATCAATCAACATATACAGAAAAGATTCTGAAACGTTTTCATATGGATAAAGCCTATCCATTGAGCTCCCCAATGGTTGTCCGATTACTTGACATCAAGAAAGATCCTTTTCGTCCTCGAGAAGATGATGAAGAACTCCTTGGTCCTGAAGTGCCCTGTCTCAGTGCGATTGGTGCTCTTTGTATCTTGCAAATTGCACAAGACCTGATATAATTTTTCCAGTCAATTTATTAGCACGGTACAGTTTTGCACCAACTCGCAGACATTGGAATGGAATCAAACACATACTGCAATATCTTCGTGGCACAACTGATATGGGCTTGTTTTATTCGAATGCACCAATTTCTCCATTAGTTGGATATGCAGATGCCGGCTATCTTTCTGATCCACATAAAGCTTATTCACAGACAGGATATGTGTTTACCTGTGGCGGCACTGCTATATCATGGCGATCAATGAAACAGACAATGATTGCAACTTCTTCAAATCATTCTGAGATACTCGCAATTCATGAGGCAAGCAGGGAATGCATTTGGTTGAGATCAATGATCCAACATATTCGAACAACATGTGGTCTCTCATCAATAAAAGATAGCCCAACAGTATTATATGAAGATAATGCGGCATGCATTGCACAGATGAAAGAAGGATATATTAAAAGTGACAGGACCAAACACATTTCACCAAAATTTTTTTATGCACATGAACTCCAGAAAAAGGATGATATTGATATTCAGAAGATACGTTCATGTGAAAATCTAGCAGATCTATTCACTAAAACGTTTCCAACTACAACCTTCAAGAAGTTGGTGCACAACATTGGAATGCGTCAACTAAAGAATCTTCAGGGTTGATCTAATGAGGGGGAACAATTGATCAAAGAGGTATTGACATGCTGTACTCTTTTTCCTTCGTCCAGGTTTTGTCCCACTGGATTTTCCTGGCAAGGTTTTAATGAGGCAGTTTTACTTTATGCAATACCATTTTCAGATACATAAGAATACTGTCCTCTTTGTCATTCGCTAGGGTTTTGTCCCATTGGGTTTTCCTTAGCAAGGTTTTAACGAGCCATATTCTTAATGTAATATTGTGGACCCCAAGGGGGAGTGTTATGTGTATATATATATATATAATGGAAGTGGGGCCCACAATATATGCATGTCATCCATGACGTCACCATGTATAGCTTACATGGGAAGATTTCATTTGTGGCTTCTTTGGAAAGCCAAGTGCAACACCTATATATATGGCATACATATGTACTGCGTGGGTGTGTGTTTGTGAATAAAAAGCATTCTACAATCTCTTTCTCTCTCTCTCTCTCTATATATATATATACACTTTCACATATATTTATTATAAATATTATTTAAATGAAAATTTGTAAAAAAAAGAAGTATATACCATTCTTCTTATTTTTTTTTTATTTTCTAATATCATCTTTATCAAATAAAAGAAAGAATTCTTCCCATTTTTCTCCGCGTCACTTTCTTTCTTACTATCCAGCACAGCGCAAAGAAAAACCGAACCGCATCGAAATGGGTCTTATTCTGGGCCTCCATGAGGACCTTCCTTTGGCCCATAAAGGCCTGAATTCGAAAAATAGATCATAAGTTCACACCAGGTCGGTGTGTGTATACCTGTTTGTGTGTGCGCGTATTTTTACCGCCAAACTGCATAATCCCCATCCTTGTAAACCCTAACTTGCCTTTCAAAACTTCGACAAATAATGAGAACTTCGATTCGATTCTATTCTATTCCTGGAAGCGACGACGAAGGCTTTGAAGAGGACATGGAAGCCCTAAGGAAGGCGTTCGTTCTTAGCGAGACCAACCCTAATGACATTCAATGGCCCTCAACCACGGCCACCACCGTTCTTGGCGGCGCCACCTCTGACTCTGACGACGACGACCTCGAGTTGGTCCGCAGAATACAGGAGCGGTTCTCAATTCCCGTCGACGAGGGTACGTCGCTCAATATGAATCCCCTGTGTTCGCTTCCACCGTTTGCCTCTGACGATGACGAAGACGATTTCGAGATTCTTGGTGCAATCAAGAAGCGGTTCGGTCATTATGATAATGATAGTCTGAAACACAGCACAGAGAGTTATTTACATAACACTGAGCAGGTTCATGCCACCACCATAGCCTCGGAGACGAGCCCTAGTGATAATTTGTCTGTAGATTACAGAACCAATATTGTTTTTGATGGAAGTCCAGATTGTGCGTATCCTTGTAACAGCACCCAGAATTTGGAATCATTCAATGAGGAGACCCAGCTTTCTGGTTTAATTGAATGTGAATGGCATGAAACCAGAGATTCTAGCTTCCCAAAATCTGCACAGTTGATGATTGATGCCATTAAGAAGAACAGGTCCTGTCAGAAATTTCTTAGAAGTAAGCTGATTCAGATGGAAGCAAGGATGGAAGAGAACAAAAAACTGAAGGACCGTGTTAAAGCCCTAAAAGACTTTCAGTTTGGTTGCAGAAGAAGAACTGGGCTAGCATTGTCCCAGAAAAAGGATGCTCGTGTGCAGTTAATTTCAGTGCCAAAGAAAAGAGCAAATGGAAAGGTTAATGAGAAGATGGTTCGTGCTTTATTATGTTATGGCCCTGCCGAGAATTCTCATGTTTCTAGTTATAGAATGGCATTGACAAATTTTCCACTCTCATTCAGTCAGAAGGAAAGAAAGTGGTCCAAGAAAGAAAAGGAAAATCTTGCAAAGGGAATAAAACAACAATTTCAAGAAGCTCTGCTTCAGAAATCAGTTGATCAATTCAGTGGTAGTGTTGGGGATTCTTCGGGAGTTTCGAATGATTTTGACAACATTATTGAATCCATCAAGGATCTTGATATCACCTCTGAGAATATTAGATTATTTCTACCCAAAGTTAACTGGGATCAATTGGCTTCCATGTACGTTCCAAGTCGCTCTGGAGCAGAATGTCGAGCAAGGTGGCTCAACTGTGAAGACCCCTTAATCAATCACCGTATGTGGACTAACACGGAGGATAAGAATCTTTTGCACATTGTCCAACAGAAGGGGATTCATAATTGGATTGATGTTGCAGTGTCACTGGGAACCAATAGGACACCATTTCAGTGTTTAGCACGATATCAAAGAAGTTTAAATGCTATGATACTGAAAAGGGAGTGGACTAAGGCCGAGGATGATAAACTTCGTGCTGCTGTAGAAACTTTTGGCGAGAGCAATTGGCAGCCAGTAGCTTCTACTTTGGAAGGAAGGACTGGTACCCAATGCTCTAATAGATGGAAAAAATGCCTTCACCCGACCAGGCAAAGGGTAGGGAGGTGGACTCCAGACGAGGACAAACGCCTAAAGGTGGCTGTAATGCTTTTTGGGCCCAAAACCTGGAACAAAATAGCTCAATATGTGCCTGGTCGGACTCAGGTGCAATGTAGAGAAAGATGGGCCAATTCCTTAGATCCTTCTTTAATTCTTGGTGAATGGACTGAGGAAGAGGATTCAAGGTTGGAAGCAGCAATTGCGGAGCATGGATATTGCTGGTCTAAAGTTGCTGCGTGTGTGGCTCCACGTACTGATAGTCAGTGCCGGAGGAGATGGAAAATGTTGTTTCCACATGAAGTGCCTTTGCTTCAAGCAGCTAAAAATATACAGAAAGTTGCTCTCATATCAAATTTTGTTGATCGGCAGTCTGAGCGACCTGCCTTGGGACCTAATGATTTCGTTCCACCAACTATGACAAATTCTATTCCTGAATCTGAAAATGCAAATCCTTCTGGGAAACAGAAGAGGAAATCGAGGAGGCGGATAGATTCTAAGGCAAAAGCCAATTCTTCTAGCAACAATCCTATGATCACATCAGATAGGCTTATAGGGGAAGCTGAAATTTGTTCTGAGGAAGTTTCAATGTTAATGAATTACAATGAGATTGAGATCTCTGGTGGGGATGATGCAATTTCAAAAAAGAAGAGAGTGAGAAGGTCATCATCATCTTGTCCAGATTCAACAGTAATGTCAACATTAACCAATAGTAAAGAGGTTGGGGCATCTGATAGGGATAGTGCTACAAAGAAGAAAAGAGCTCCTTCTGGGAGACGCAAGAGGAAATCAATACCGAGTCCTGAACCCAAGGAATTCGATACAGCTTCTGGCAACGATGCCATTTCAGAGAAGAGAACACTAGTAAACCCAATTTCAAATGAGAATAAGGGTAGTGGTCCAACAAAAGAACAGCCATTATCCTGTCCAGATTCGAACATATTAATGACCACCAATGGTGAAGAAGCTTGTGGATCTGCCAGGGTTGATGCTACGAAGAATAAAAAGGCTTCAAAATTACATCCTAGGAGGAATAAATGCATTGAACTACCCAAGGAAGTTCCAGGAATAACAAACTCTGATGAGGTTGAGACCTTTGGTGGAAATTTTGCCATTTCAAATAAGAGAGGAAGGGTAACTGAGGCAAACTTGACGATGAGTGAAGGTGCCGGTCCAACAGAATGTCATTCATTCTCGTGGCCAGATTCAACAATATTAATTATAGGCAATAGTGAAGAGGTTTTGCAATCTGGAGGGAATGATGATGCTACAAAGAATGAAACGCCTTCAAAACTGCAGCCAAGGAAGAATAAAACCATTGACATACAAGTGGAAGTCCCGGGGATGACCAACTCTGATGAGGTTGAAACCTTTTGCGGAAATGGTGCCACTTCTAAGAAAAAAGGAAGGGTAGCTAGGCCACATTCACACTCAAAGAAGAACGAAGGTACTAATCCAACAGAAGATCATTCATTATCTAGTTCAAATTCAACAATGTTAGTTATCCGCGGTGGTGTAGAGGGTGAGGCATTTAGTCGAGACGATGCTAGAAGAAATACCTGTACTCAACTACCTGAGAAAATTACAGAGATGGTCAATCTCAATGAGGTTGAGACCTTGGGTGGAGGTGAAACCATCTCAGAATGGAGGAAAAGGTTGATCAAGCCACATTTAAAGCAGGATAAATGTATTGATCAAGTTCAAGATCATTCATCATCTTGTCCAGATCCAACATTACATAGGATAGTAGGTAGTGATGATGCAAGAAAGAAAAAAACAGCTCCTAATCGACATTCGAGGAGTGTATACACTACACTTCTGCAGGAAATCTCAGAGACAAACGATTCTGTGGTGCTTGAGGCCTTAAGAGAAAATGTTGCTTTTCCGAAGAAGAACAGGGAAGCAGAGCAATATTTAGGGAAGAGTAAAGAGTTTGGGACATTGGGTAATTCATTAGTAATGTTATAGTTCAGCCATCTGAAATTTTTTTTGGGAGGAACATCTCTTGAAATGTATAGTTCAGTCAAGTCTTTCATTAGTAATTCATTACTTTCTTTGATTTTAAAATTCTGAATTATTTTAAGGATTAAAACCTTAAAGAATGATAATTTCTACTCTTCAATACAGTTTGATCGTCTTGACTTTAGCAGGAGGATAAAAATAATATTTGGTCCTATTTTATTGAGTTCTCCACAAACTCGATCTGTTATACTCAAATTCAAAATTGAAAACATATTTTGTTTTCAAATATTGAGTAATCAGATTATTTAACCTACCTACATCACAAACTCAATGATTCAAAGAATCTTTCTTAGAAATAAGGGTGGTGAAAAACCTAGATTTTGTTACAATCAATATGAAAGTCCAGAGTATGTATATACAACCAGAATTCAATGATACAATATTTATGGAGATATATATATATATATATATATATATATATATATATATTTCCTATCCAAAATATTTTGACCAAGCTAATTTTCACACATCAATCAGTCGAATGCAATGCGTAAGATTGAAACATATTTGTTCATATCACTTTGTGTAATATTCATGATTTAACAGAAAAACACGGACAATATTATTTTGTACTAAAATTGAAAATCATTATCTTTAAAAAAAACATCTTCAAACTGAACATATCAGATTATTTTTATAGCGCGTGCATATATATATATGTGCTATATATGAATATACACACTTGATATAAAAAAAAATCTGATTTGTTTGGTTTGAACAATATTTTTAAAAAAATAATGATTCTATATGTATATGCACATGCTATAAAAATAATTCGATATGTTTGGTTTGAACAATGCTTTTTTTTAGGGATAATGATTCTATATGTATATATATGTATATACACACGTGCTATTAAAATAATCCGATATGTTGGGTTTGAACAACCGTGAACAACCGTACAAAATAGTATTGTCAATGTTTTTCTTAAGATCCTTAAACCATGAAGCATATTCTCATAATAAGGTCTTAAGAATGCCAAGTCAGCAAATCTCAGCAACTTTAGTGGCCTCACTCACCACAAACTCAATTTGTTATACTCAAATTCAAAATTGAAAACATATTTTGTTTTCAAATATTGAGTAATCAGATTATTTAACCTACCTACATCACCAACTCAATGATTCAAATAATCTTTTCTTAGAAATAAGGGTGGTGAAAAACCTAGATTTTGCTACAATCAATATGAAAGTCCAGAGTATGTATATACAACCAGTATTCAGTGATACCATATTTACGGGGAGATATATATATATATATATATATATATTTCCTATCCAAAATATTTTGACCAAGCTAATTTTGACACATCATTCAATCAAATGCAATGAATAAAATTGTAACATATTTGTTCATATCACTTTGTCTGTAATATTCATAATTTAAAGATATTCAAAAAAACAAGAACAATACTATTTTGTACGAAAATTGAGAATCATTATTCCCAAAAAAAAAACATTGTTCAAACTAAACACAGATTATTTTTATAGCATAAGTGCTATATATGAATATAGACGTGATATAAAAATAATCCAATATGTTGGGCTTAAACAATATTTTTTTAGGGATAATGATTCTATATGTATATATGTATATATGCACATATTATAAAAATAATTCAATAAGTTCGGTTTGAACAATATTATTTTAAAAATAATGATTCTATATGTATATATGTATATACACACATGTGCTATAAAAATAATCCGATATGTTAGGTTTGAACAACCGTACAAAATAGTATTGTCAGTGTTTTTCTGAAGATCCTTAAATTACGAAGCATATTCTCATAATAAGGTCTTAATAATGCCAAATCAGCAGATCTCAACTTCGTCAGTAGCCTCACTCACCACAAAATCAAGAACTTTAATGGGAGAATACCACGTATCCCATATACGGAACTAGTACCTCCCCGTCTCTCTCCACGTTCCTCGGCGAACGCGACATTCCGGTCGTGACCAACATTTTAACTTATCGACCATGCTCTTCCACTTATTTACGGTTCCTGCCATCGCCTGAACAACACAGAGCGAGTCAAAGGGTGTGACCATACCAAATCTTCCAATCCTAAGCTATCCACATCAGCAACGACATCGATATCAACATCCATATGTTTCCACGTGGCACGGACCCAGTACGTCTAGAAATGTGCATAAATATTGAACAACCCCCACTCACCTCAACACCACCACCCCAACAGTGTAGCAAACCACTGAGGTTAGAAACAATTTAGACCTCAAACTGATTCATTCTCTCTCTCACATAAGTCCCAAAACAAGAAATAAAAATTCCAAATCTCACGAACCAACTTTGATCATTGCTTTATCAACAATGCCTTCTTTGTTTCTAGACGTTGGTTAACAACATTCCTTTGTTTGTTTTAGTATTTTCAATAGAAACCGTGGCGGGATTCGGTGGTGGTCTAATCGGTAAGTTTATCTTCATTCTCTCTTTTGGGGTCTGCTTCCAAAAACTGAATATCAGAAAATTATGCACAAACTTTGTCTGAAAACTGTTTTATGAAAATTTAATCACTGTGAAAACAGTTTTCTTTCTGAAAACTGTTTTCAAAAAACTAAACCAAACAGGCTCTTGGTATTTTCAGTCAGTTTGATATTCATTTGTGTTTCTGGTTGTTTTGAAATGATGTAGGTTGAGGTGAGTTTGAGGTTAGAGGATGTAGAAACAATAAAAGCCGAATTCCCGCCACGAGTTTCAAGTTAGTTATGTTAGTTAAGAAACAGTAGAAAATTTTAGTATTAGTTAGATTAGTGGAGGAAAGTATATATGGAGCCTCTGTGTGAGTATTGTGGAGTTGTGAGGGCTGTAGTGTATTGTAAATCGGACTCGGCTAGACTTTGCCTGCACTGCGATAGCTGTGTGCACTCTGCCAATTCTTTGTCTCGGAGGCATCCTCGATCGCTCATCTGTGACAAGTGCAATTCGCAGCCTGCAATAGTCCGGTGCATGGATGATAAAATGTCTCTGTGCCAGGGTTGTGACTGGAATGGAAATGGCTGCTCAGGGTCAGGGCATAGGCGTCAGACATTGAATTATTATACTGGATGTCCTCCCCTGGCTGAGTTCTCAAAGATTTGGTCTTCGGTTCTTGATGTGCCTTCTTCCGGTAGTTCTGGTGCCGGTTGGGGTCCTCTAAATGCCCTGCCCGTCAATGAGAGTGATAGTTTGGAGCCTAGAGGTGATAAGGGGCCAATTGGGTTGGTGGCAAGCAATTTTAGTCAGTTACAACCTTGTGCCCCTTGGATCGGTTCATCTGCTGTAATTCCAGCTGACCTGAAACAGATACCACCATGCAATAAAGATCAAGCATCTTTATTTCCTGAGGGATCAACCCTGTCAAAGGTGAATTCTCTTATTATTTGCTAGTTTTGTTATTGATATGGTAACATAAATGATCGGCTCATATTTGTTCGAATGATTTAACAGATTTTCATGGCCTATTTATTATAGATGGCAATGAATTCAGGCACTAGAAAGAGGCTTTTTCTGTAGAACATGCTCTCTCCCTTTTGAGTAAATTTTGTTGATATGATCTTTAAACTCTAAGCCCTGGCTTGGTATGCTTCATGCACAGCAGGGTTATTCCAATTTCAAGAATCTTGAACTCCATGAAGGTGACAATCTCTGTGAAGGTCTCGATATGGATGATGTTGCAGTGAACTTTGAGAGTGGTGATGAAATATTTGGCTCTTCAGAAGGTCATCCTGATATTCATTTTGACGATGGAGGAATGGATTGCCTATTAATGGAGAAAAACTTATCGGTAACTGAATCTAATGGACATATCGAAAATCCTTTAGAGGTTAGCTGCAAATTTTTGTATCTCATAGCTGCTTGATAAGTTTCTTTTTGGCTCCGAGACACCAATAGTTGTTCATTGCTTTCTTTCTTAGCATATAAACATTCAGTTGGTATAAAAAATATGGCTATTGACACAAATTCATATTGCATAAAGCCAATGCTTGATATATTGCACTAGCCCTCTAGATCTGACTGCCATAAGGGCATAATGACTACTGTTTCACATTCTATTCAAAACAACAACCAAAAAGTTTTGATACGCTCTAATTTGTCTATGGACATTTTTTTGGAATGCATAGAATATTCTCACCTCCTTAGTAATTACCACCTCCATGTGATTTCAGTATACTGACTGTGTTTTTTTTTTTTTTTCCAGGCATTATCATCAGGACGACAAGACTACATGGCTTTTCAATCATCGCGTATTGTGGAGACACCTAATGTGATGCAAACTATGAGTGACAATGCTAATTGTATGCTTATGAACCCCAACTGCAACAGATATCTTGGCCTAGGTTTTTCACCTAGACAAGTTCATTCGAGTGTATCACTTTCACTATCCAACATCACTGGTGAAAGCACTGCTGCTGATTATCAAGATTGTGGATTATCGCCAGTATTTCTGACGGGTGAATCACCTTGGGAGCCGAATCTGGAAGCTAGTAGCCCACAGGCAAGGGACAGAGCTAAAATGAGATACAATGAAAAAAAGAAAACACGCATGTATGTGTTCAACTCTTCACACATAGTATGAGGTCTATTTTCATTGGACTTACGAGGTGTTCTTTATGAATTTCTGACTTACCAGATTTCCTTTACCTTGTTTCTGAATTTTAGAGCATATGAAACTAAATTTTAAAACAAAAATGAGGGAGGAAGCCACTTCTAACCATTTTCTAAACATTTGCTTTGTTGTAATTTTTTCCAAGAAGCAGAAAGTGCCCTTAACATGTTTAGATGTTTAAAGCAACTTTTTACTTCTGTCCTCAGTGCACCAGTATTGTTAACCACAACAATCAACTTCTGATGAGATGTCATAGGATCCCAACAGATGCTATAGATTCTTGTTCTTGAAGTGATTAGGAAGCAAAAGGATGAAAGTTGGTGCTGGCCTCCCCTCCTTTGCAGTCCAAATTAGAGCATTCATCAGACGGGTTTCGAAGATATTAGTAACCACTGAATGTTTAATAGATTTCTTTCTTATTTCGATTTATCCTGTTTCATTCAACTTATCTTGTGTAGTAGTTTGTTTCTCCCAGAACACATTCAGATCTGCTGGGAACAAATTTCCTCCAGCCATATAATGGTTTTACCTCAATTACCCCAAAATTAAGAGAAAATAAGATAAAAGTAGAAATTGTGTGCAATTTCTCAAAGACTTCACAGGAATTTAGAAGTTCAAGGCAAATCAATAGCATGAATTTATTTTCTTAATCCCATTTTTGGATGTCATGTTCAAGTATTGATTTTCATCTTCAGTTAAGCTTGGCAATTTGTTTGATAAAGTTTAAGTTCATTTGATGTTCTTGCTTAAAGACATATTCTACTTCATCATGATCACAATGTTTCCAATTTATATTATTATGATTAATTTAGCTCCTAACAGATTTTCATTTTTTGTCTTCTGTAGATTTGGTAAACAAATAAGATATGCTTCCCGTAAAGCCAGAGCTGATACTAGAAAGCGCGTGAAAGGTAGATTTGTGAAGGCAGGTGAAGCATATGACTATGATCCTCTTACAACAAGGAACTTCTAAGTGAGATCACCACTTCTCAGTCCATTGCCTTACATTTCAAGGCCTTACTGGATAAGGTACTATTAAATGCTCACATAAAAATGTACATATATCATGCTCCGTGGACTCAAGCGTCTGATTTTAAGGCTTTGGAGTTATAGAAGCAGACATCTCTTGTTTATGGTCCTTTTATATCTAAATAAGGGATTAAGGGTATAGCACAAATACATAGATGAAAAAAGTGGAAAATAAAGGAAACCATTATAATGCTCCCAAAATTAGGTTGCATTTTCACTTAGCTTATTCAGCTATGCACACAGTTCTAAATGTTTATAGAAATACTTTTGTCTGTGTATTGTCATTAATCATGTTTGAATGAGTAAGTCTCTCAACATTCACATTTAGCAGATTTTTCCTTTAGAGTTTCTAGTAGCAAATAGATTCTGCATCTCGATTGTCTTCACTGGTCTAATCTTAATTTCTCTAATGATTTCAGAAATGGACTGTGCAACCCCAACTCAATCTTCATTCTTTCAAGAATGCTGGTTTTCCATTACCTCCCAACAATCTGCAAACCTATCATTTCATGTATTGCTTCCTTTAGTCTATGATACTATTGATCAACGGAAAGTTGTTCTTAAACCTGAAAAAATCTTACAGAAATTATATTTTGGTGCACTTCTTTTATCAAATAACTAACTATATTTCATCTCTGCAACGGCAGATTTCACTGCTGAGTGGCCCCTATGAAATTGAATTCTTGTTGCAGGAGCAACCCGGCCCAGCTTTGATAGAGTTTGTGTGACCTCATCCATCATTTTTCATACCAGTGTCCCTTATATCTTCAAGGTAATGGCACTTGGTCTTATTTATGTATAATTTATCCACTTTCTTTCTATGCCATTGTTACCTGTATTGCTAGCTGGCCTAGGGACCATCAAGTTGACGCCACAAACAAAAAAAAAAATTATGTCAAATGTGCCATATTTTCTTTCCGCGATACTGATCAATTCTCCTTCCTTGATGTAATCCCGCAATGTGATATTTGCAGTTGGGAGATAAACTTGGTGAAGGACCTTGCAGTGACTTTTGATTGCCTCCCTCTCAAAACTGACCCTCACGAGTCGCGAGCCTCGTATGGCTTTTTGCAACACCCCACATTCTTGCCATAAGGCACAGTACTGATTGCAAGTCAATTTTGGTTATTTAGGTGTTTAGATAGTTAGGCAGTTCCATTTCTATGTAATAATCAAACACAGCTGATTCTGCAGTTGTGATATTGAAGAAAACCACTCCATTCCACGAGTACTCTATATATAATAAAAGTCTGTTTGCATTTGCAATAGTTTCTGCATTTTCTCGTTACTTTCATTGACTGCATTGCTCAACATAGTTCTTTTTTTTATACATTAGCAATTTATGCCTCTAAAATGTTAGAAAGGAAGAAAGTTGTACCATCCTCTCTCTCTCTCTCTCTCTCACACACACACACACACACACACACACACACAAATGATTGATTCAAATGGACATCTTCTGATGGTGGAGTGCAGTGATACAAATATAGTCATAAATGTGCAAGTAGCTGCCACTTCTAATCTGTAATAAGACAATAATATTGAGTGTAATGTGTAAGTCATGATGTAATAATAATAATTGGTTCAATAGTAAGTAGCTGCCACTTCTAATCTTTCTCCAACTTCATTATTATTAACCATGTCTGTTCTAGTTAGTCAAAATTTTCATCTCAACTTTCCATTTCAAGAACATGAATGTGTTGTTATTGTTTCTTTTTAATATTCAACATTTTGCTTCATACAATATAATTGGTCTAATAATTATTTTATATAATTATTTTATTTTATTTTTATTTTTTAAAAATTCTTTTATCATATAATATACCGAATCCATTTTGCCCATCATGTTCAAATCTCAATTATTACATCATTATCTATTTTGCATTGGTCATTTTGAAGCTAATTAATATCACATCCTAAAACAAGAAAATAAATAAATGAGTAATTAGTCATTATCATTTACTCCTATATTTTCAAATTTTTATTTATTTTTTTTAAAGTTGATGGTTGTGAACTTGCCATGTAATCTTATTTGAAAAGATAGTAAAGAGACAAGTGTGTGTGACTACCACCGACTAGAAAAAAAAAAATTAATAATAATAAATAAATAAATAGTAAAGAAAAAGAGAAAAAAATTGTTACTATATAAATAGAAAGGATAAAACACGATTTTGTTACAAGAAAACTTTAAAAGTAAAGAAAAACGATATTGTCACTTCATTTTTGTATTCTTATATTTTTCTTTAATATTATTATTATTATATATATATATATATTTGAATAAAAGGGCAAGAAAATTGACATACCACTTTGTCTTGTGGAGATTTGAGTATTGGACTAAGTTAATATGTATATATATATATATATATATATATATATATATATATATATATATATTTATTGGACTTTCTAGTTGGGTAGAGTACCATAAATTATAACCATCAAAGATTGAGAAAGTAATATCAATAAAATAATAGTAAGTAGGGCGGAGCTCGTGTGTGGCGAAGCCCATTATAAAATATAGTAATTTTTATTTAATTTTTTTTTCTTTTCATAATTAGTACTCACACACATCTCTATTGAGACTTGAATCCCTAACCTTCCTTTGAGAAGTAAGAGGATGATACAGTTAGGCCACTAGCTCGTTTGTAATTTTTATTTTAATTTGTACATTTATAAGAAATTTTTTATATAATGCCTTTCCAAAATTTTAAATTTCTAAAATTGTTTTCTAAATTTTTCTTTTCTTTTTTTTTTTTTCCTCTTAATATTGATTTCCTTAAAAAAAAAATTAAATTGGTAATACTATATGGTGGACTTTTGATTAGCAACTATAGTATTTACTTTATTAAAAGATATGTGAGTCTAGGATAGAGTGAACAATAGATATTTATCTCTCTTTTCACTCATTTCAAAAAAGTGAAAAAGAATACTATGAGAATGCTTTATATGAACCAGTTATATAGGTCTAAAACTTTGAACAGTCAATAACTAAATAAAATGGTGCCAAAAAAAAATAATAATAATAATACTTAATAAAATAATTACAGTGTAAAAAATAATAATAATAAAATAAATCCTCGTACAAACATGTGAATATTAATTAAGAAAAAAATAAATAAAATAATTACATATTTATGATATTAACATTATATAATATGAAATGTGACCGTCGGTTTCATGTCGTAAGACTCGTAAGTCGTAACATGTACACCAAAAATTCTAACACGGTTTTTATTTATTTATTTTTTATTTATTTATTTTTTTTTAAATTTAAAAAATAATCAAATAATTTATTTATTTATATGTTTTTTCAAGTTCATATTTATGTCTTCTCTTCGGTTTTGAACAACCTTTGCCTTTCCTTGTACCCCACAGTGGGAACCTGTGTCTCTAAGCAAAGTCCAACCATCTGTGTCTCCCTAACATGTTCCTCTTCAAGATCGTAAGAAACCCATCTCGCATCAAAGATCTCAGCTTGCTTATTTCCACTCTCTTCATCTTCTACCTTCTCGTCCACCGCCACCACACCCCATCCAATCTCCTCATAGTCCCCACTACACAACCATCATCAACCACCACCACCACCACCACCACCACCACCGTCCGTCACCTCTTCTTTTCCATTGCTTCCTCTTCCAAATCCTTCCCCAACCGCATACCCTACCTCCGCCTCTGGTACAACCCCGACTCTACCCGCGCTGTCCTCTTCCTGGATCAACCCCCACCCGATTCCTCCCCATCCCTCTCCCTCCCTCCAATTCTCATCTCCGCCGACACTTCCAAGTTCCCCTACACCTTCCGCGGCGGCTCTCGGTCCGCGATTCGCATTGCTCGCATCGTTAAAGAAGCCGTCGATCGCAACGAGTCCGACGTTCGGTGGTTCGTATTCGGCGACGATGACACGGTGTTTTTCGTGGATAATTTGGTCAAAACACTGTCCAAGTACGATCATGACCATTGGTATTATGTGGGGAGTAATTCCGAGATTTACGAGCAGAACGAGAAGTACTCGTTCGATATGGCGTTTGGTGGTGGAGGGTTTGCCATAAGCCATTCGCTTGCTAAGGCTTTAGGTAGGGTTTTGGATTCGTGTCTGATGAGGTACCCACACTTGTATGGGAGCGATGCTAGGGTTTACTCTTGCTTGGCTGAGCTCGGAGTGGGTTTGTCGCATGAACCCGGGTTTCATCAGGTAAAATTATCAATTCCTCTGTTTTTTCTGTTCATGAATCTGTCGATCATCTTTGCCTTAATTGTCAATTATTCCATTTTGTAATCCAAGGCAATGTTTAATTTGTTTTAAGTATAAAATCATGCAATGAATGTCTAATTGTCATTATTGTCTTAGTTGAAGGAAATTACCTTCTGTGAATTGAATATTAATGGAAATTTTCCTTTATTGGTTTAAATTTGAGCATGTCATGTTGTGGCTAAGAGTGGACTTCATTGATTTGATTGTTATATAATAGCTGAGACTGAGAGTTGGTGGCATAGTTGTGATTCCAGCTTGGTCTGCGATTAGTGCCTAAAATGGAATGGTGAAACTGTTACTTATTTATTTTTTTTCTATGGGATTTGCTATTACGGGTTGCCTCTGAAGAGGTTTTATTATTGGCTGCTTATTCAATCATCTATGAGTTTTGTTGTTTGAAATAATTTTGAATACTTAGCTCAAAGACATGTGAATAGGATGTAAATATTAAGTGCAACTTGTGTGTATATATAGCTCTTTATAACTTGTAATGTATTCTGTTTTACATTTTCACTCTGAAACATTTAAAATCTGAGAACTAAGAGTTGGAGCTTGGAAATTTTAGTCAATTAACTTCATCGATTTGATAAACTTATCTCCTTTCCTTTTCCTTATACCATGATTATATTGGCCTATTCTACTGGTTAAAATGCTCATTGAATCTAGCACTTAGTTTAATGAAGCCACATCCATAATTTTCTTATTTTCCGAGCTCTTTGGATAAGTTCTAGTGCTTTATTTATTTATTTAAATTATATTTTACTATTGTCAGATTGATATTCGGGGAGATCTGTTTGGAATGCTTTTAGCACATCCCTTATCACCTTTGGTGTCTCTTCATCATTTGGATGCTGTGGAGCCAATATTTCCTAACATGACTAGGACTCGAGCTATGGGACATCTTTTTAAAGCTGTAAATGCGGATCCTGCTCAGATTTTGCAGCAAACTGTCTGCTATGACCACTCCAAGTCATTGACTGTTTCAGTTGCATGGGGTTATGCTGTTCAGTTGTTTGAAGGCAGTCGTCTTCTTCCAGATCTCCTATCGTGGCAGAGAACTTTTAGGCCATGGAAGAGAGGTAAGGATGTTTTTTCAAGCCACTATATGTTCAAGATGAGAGAGTACCCCAGAGATTCATGTGAAAGACCTGTAGTTTTCTTTCTTGAGAGTGTTATTTCTGATACGAACGGGCTCTGGACCAACTATAGAAGGCATATTGTGGGAAATTGCTCAGGCATCAAGGGAATACAGAATTTGGAACAGATCAGAGTGTTCTCATGGAAGACATATTTTGATATTGAACAGGTACTACTTGCCTGGTTTGGATATGCTTGTTTTAGAAAATTTGAGTTAGTCTTTGTTTTGTATTTTTTTCTTACTATTGTCAGTTGAATGCTGTTGTATTTTTATCCATTTCAGCTTAAGGCTCCTCGTCGTCAGTGTTGTGACATTTCACCATCTTTCAGTAAATCAATGGTTATTGATATCAGACAATGTGGAGTTGATGAGCTGATTTCGATGCGTAAATAAAATTATCTTTGGGACGACTTTTGTTCAAGCAAATATCCAATTTTACGAGAACTTGGGAGACTGTATCACAGCTTGTTCTCTTGAAGATAAATTCCCTACTGTAAATCATAAGGTAATTTTGTATAAAATGATATTACTCGTTCCTTTTTATTTTAAAATGTGCTTGCATATTTTAAATTCAAGATGCTTACACTCATAGTGTATAAGATTTATTTATTTGGTCTATTATGTTGCCTTCTATGAAATTGTTATCAATTTTATCATTATGATTGAATGTACAATGTTCTGAGAGGGTTTTTTCCATTACTAATGGTAAATATCATTAGTAGTTCAGTTAGTTGTCATGCTGCAAAATGAAATAGTTAGAATTAAAGACTTGTATCAAAGTTGCAATTGAAAATTTCTGTAGTACTTTGCCAAATTTTATAATTTGGATGTGAAAATTGATTAGGAAAATAAGATTACTTGAAAAAAATGAAAGAGAGCAGGAGATTAAGGGTATTTTTGATAAAAAGAGACTTCCCTTTACTGGTAAATTGTTCAAAGTAATGTGAAAGCTTTACAGACAATATGATGGTTAGTATCCGAGTTGGTTTCTGCATAGTTTTGAACAAGTTAGCATATTCAAGAATTTCAAAAGTCTTTTCACAATGCTCATGTATGCTAACATAATCTAGGATATCATAGCAGATTGGTTTTCCATGTATTTTCAAGCGTTACCGCTCCTCGGTTTCGATGATCACCCCCTCAGTTTTAATAATTGAACCTAGTTAAAAAAGAGGCATACTATTACAAAACGGAGTTTCTATAAGATAAGAGGTATAGTACTACAAAACAAAGTTTCATGAATAATATTTAGCCATTTTGCTCTATACAGGGTCACATCATTCCTCTCATCCTTGCAGATTTTCTTTTCTGGTTTACCCCAAATTCACAAATCCATTTCGTCGGCCTTTTTTTTTTTTTTTTTTCCTGAATGGGGTGTTTTTATAAAAATATACAAAACAGCACAATTACATTAGGAGACAAATCTCCAAAGCCTAAAAAAAGGAAATAAATTCCAATTTCAGCAAACAACATATCTCAGAATGAAAAATTACCAACCAAATACAATCAATAAGTCTGCTAAACTAATATTGAGATGTGTGATAACATCCCAAATAATAGCTCGCACTGCATGTGAGCTCTGTTCTTGTATCCCTGTATGAAGCATAGCATTTCTACTGGACCATATCTTCCATAGAATAACTGGAAAAATGCCATTCAAAATCTTAGATTTGAGAGACTTTGTCATAGTGTTTTGCAAAAACCAGTCCACAATGTGATTGAGACTTAAAAACTGAGGAACCTGCAGCTGCAACAAATCAAAAACCCCTCTCCAAATCTCAACAGCAAAACCACAATGATAGAACAAATGTTCATTAGAATCATCCCCAGCATAGCAATTATGGCAAATAGAAGTAACTGGCAACCTTTTCTTTCATTTAGTGAGGTGAAAGAAAAGAAATATGTTTTCTTGCACTTTTTTAGTTTGAATGAAAATTTTGTAAGAAGTTGTACAAAGATGTTTAATGGTTTGGATAACATAAGAGTTGCAACAAAAGATTATTGTTTGCATAAACATTCCTTATTATATTAAACAGAAAATGGATTTGTATCAAATCAAATATATATTTTTGATCTTTTTAAAAATACAAGTAATGTGAAAATCTAAATAATTATTGGGGCAAATTACACTTGCCTCCCTTAAGGTTTTTCAAAATAATAGGGACCTTCCATCTTGTTTGCAAAATAATACTGATTGACGTCCGTCCTATGCAGTTAAGAATTTGAGTGAAGTTACCATTTTGCTCGTGAATTAAAGACAGAACCAGCCTTTTTATGAAATTCAACACACTTGTTTTGACACTACTGGCAATCAAATCCTATGGAACAAATGTTAAACCTGTTAATGTGAGCCCAAAACCTCATAAGTTTAAAGGAACCCCTCCTTTTTCTTGCATTTGTTGTTGCTGTTGCCGCAACTCCATCCAATGATGTCGCTTTTGTTGGCTTATTTATTTATTTATTTAGTTTTTGAAACCTGCAATATGATATTTTTTGTTTGGTGACCTAATGATGTACATTTTCCAAGCCATAAGATAATGGTCTGCATTTTCTTTTTCTTTTTCTTTTTTCCTAGTTCAATGGTCTGCAATTTCAGTGCACTTCTCCATCAATCTCCCATGTAAAACAGTAAAAAAAGATAAACTTATCAAAAAAAAAAAAAAATGAAAAAAAAAAGAAAGAGTAAAAAAAGATAGCTTCTGTCACCAATCTGTAAATTTAAATTGGCCTTATGAAATTGTTGTTTATGGCATGAGTTACTTGTTCTATAGCAAAATTACTGTTGCAGTTCTGAATGTGTCCATGTACCTAGTAAATAGTCCTTTCGCCATTCATTAACCATTTTTTATTTGTAGGAACAAAAAATTTCTAACTTTTTCACTGCTTCAATTGGTTGTACACTATATGAACTAAAGTTCTCCTATAGGAGGGGAGTTAGCTGCAGACATGATTGCAGAGTGCTGAATTGAGTTATCAATAGCACCTCAGTGTCTTACTCGTTTTTCCATAGTCGGTCTCAAGATGGAAAAAGAATAGTATTCAGTTGACTCTGAACAGAATGTGTCAGACCATAAGAACATGAATCTTGACAAAATGCAATCAAATGCTAGGTTTTTCAAAATCAACATGTATTTAAACTGAGATGTAATGAGAAGTGGGTAAGGTAGCTAGGAAATAGATTTAATACCATGGTTTTTATTGTTTAGGAACTCATCAGGTGACCTTACAGGTACAACTTTCCATAGCTTCTCTCTCTCTCTCTCTCTCTCTGTATCTATCTACCTCTATCTACCTCTATCTATGTCTCTTTTTTAAATTATTACTTTTAATTTGTTTTCCCATTGGAGCTGGTTGAATAATTAGGACAAGGCATGTTGAGTTATTATTACCTATGTATCTTTGATTGGGGAAATCCTTTCATTTTTTATATTCTTTTATAATTTAATGGCCTTCTTGTAGGGTCATTTCACTTTGGGTGCAGGCTGCCTTCATTTTTCAGGATGGGTTAAATAGTTTCTTCCTTCAACCATAAGGCGGACTTGACTAGCTTGAAGACGGCTAAAGATCATGAGGATGAAATATTACATATATGTAATTGATTTAAACTTTTGGGTCCTGAACGGAAAGGAACCTGTTCTACCAGCTATTGGTTTTTGGTCGGAAGGGGAATTAGGTTGTTCTTTTATATTTATAGCCTAGTAGGTTGATCATGCATTTGAGGAATTTGAAGGATAGAGAGACTTGAAGGGACCGTCAATCCCACATCACAGGGGGCAAACAACTACTAATGCAGCAACTATAAAAGATTTCTTATGGGATGCCAAATATATCATTGGAGGCATTCATTTTCTCTACAAAATTAAAATTTGGTAGCATTTCTCCCACTGCGAGAGTTTATTGAAGTGTAATTTATCTTAAACCCTAGAATTCCATATTGCAGAATGCTGTATTCTGTCCCCTGCTGGTTCTTACTTGTTATTTATGTATATGGATTTTCAAAATGTTGCTTTTATTTCTCCAACCCTTGGTTTTGAATCATCATTTTAGATTAGAATCATATGAGAAATTTTGAGCAAATAGCTTCTGTTTCAGCTCTGCGAAGGCCGAGCTAGGCCGGTTTTCTTTTATGAGAACTTCTGTTTATCTGGAGAAGTGGCTTACCCTTCTTCCTCCAGGTTTTGGGCCCTTTTAATTTCTAAACAGCAGAATTGGTTACTGTGAGTCTCGGTGGACTTGATGGATTGAATTGCAGGTTGCATACGCTTGATTGCTTCATCAAAATATGAAGAAGGGAAGACTATAAATACAATTATTTTCAATTAATATTTGTTTACGCTTTTCAAATTTTATTTTTCCTATTAATTTCTTTAATTTAGGTGAAAGATATGTGAGTTAGAAGCATGTTCCTTGTCTTATGGATTCTAACCTGAACCCCTGCACATGGGAAAGCTACGTGCACTTTCCTCTTTTCGTGATAGTGTGTCCGGTGTTGCCGTCTCCCTTTTAGACTTATTCTACTTTATGCATTGACCACACCGCCTCTCTCTCTCTGTATGTATGTATATATATATATTTATAATGTATGTATACGTGTCTATTTCTCTTGATGCAGTCTAAGTCAATCAAAGTGGTTGACCTGATGTCTCACCCCCTCTCAACTGAACCCATCACATGGACGATTCTCATTGCTGGGATCATGGACTTGGAACTAACGTAAAGACATCAAATTCTTCTTTAAATTTGCTTACGCCGCGGATTGCGGTCCAAACGATGGCTATAAACTTCAATGCCTATCTATCACCTACCTATATTTAGAACTTTTCACAACCTGAGAATCTCATCATCTGTTTAAACCTCCCTCTAAACCGCTCTCACCGATCTCCCTTAAAATGTTGTTTTCTCATTCATCTTCCAAAACACTAACCTCCTCTTCTCGTTCTCGTTCCTTAAATCTTATTCTACTCTCATTCTCTATCTTCTCTATAATTTACCTCCTTGTCTCCATTGTCCTTGTTCCCACCTCCAAGTTCGTGAACACAAACCTTCTGCAAGACCTGTCCACGCCAACCTCTCTCGAGCATGTCGTGTTCGGTATTGCATCGAACAAAAGGTCATGGCCCAAGAGGAAGGAATTTGTTCGGTTCTGGTGGAAGCCCCAGCAAATGCGAGGATGCGTCTTCCTCGAGAGCATGCCACCCAATGCAGCTTCATATAATGATTCTGATTCCCTTCCTCCGGTATGTATATCCGAGGAGACTAACAACTTCCGGTACACGTACCGGGGTGGTCTCAGATCGGCAATTAGAGTGGCTCGGGTTGTTTTGGAGACGGTTGCCCTCAACCATACCAATGTGAGGTGGTTTGTATTTGGAGATGATGATACCGTCTTTTTTCCGGAGAATTTGTTAAAGACGCTTTCGAAGTATGATCACAACCTCTGGCACTATATTGGGACCAACTCGGAGTATTACCTACAAAACAAGTTCTTCTCATTTGATATGGCTTTTGGGGGAGCTGGTTTCGCCATAAGCTATCCCCTAGCAAGAGTCCTGGCAAACGTTTTCGATTCGTGTTTGGAAAGGTACCCACATCTCTATGGAAGTGATGCAAGGATCCACTCCTGTGTGGCAGAGCTCGGCATAGGATTGACACGGGAGCCCGGTTTCCATCAGGTACCAATTACCCACTAATTAAATACGGACACATAATGATTCAACTTGTGTATGAATTTTTTGTTTGTTTGATCTGTTGGGAGATTGAATTTAGCAGCTCTGTTTTGCTTGCTGGGCAGATGGATATTCATGGAGATATGTTTGGTTTATTGGCTGCCCATCCCATGGCACCATTGGTGTCCATCCATCACTTGGATGTCACGGACCCCATTTTCCCAAACATGACGACCACCAAGGCTTTAGAGCATCTGTTTGAAGCTTCAAAAGTTGATCCTCACAGGCTGTTGCAGCAAACAGTCTGCTACGACAGATGGTTTTCCTGGACCGCGTCGGTGTCGTGGGGCTATGCGGTTCAGGTGTTCGACAAGCATGTGCGCTTGCCGGACGTTCTTACACCACAGGAAACGTTCAAGCCGTGGCGCAATGGCCGTCCAATGTTTAGTTTCAACACAAAGGAACAACACCCAGACCCATGTCGAAGGCCTGTCGTTTACTTCCTTGATAGGGTGTCTTCTGGTAGCAATGGTATAAAGAGCAGTTACAGGAGAATGGTCCCTGACAATTGCACCATTGACATGATTTCACCACGGAAAATTAAAAAGGTTGAAGTCTTCTCACAGAAGATGGACCTTAACATCAAACAGGTATTTGATTTTTACCACTTACGACAAACATTCATTTTGTTTTGCAAATGGGATTTGATGGTAAAAGAAAAAGACAAAGAAAATTAAAGGTTTTGGAATGAAATCATATTTCTATCTTTTGAAACAGTCAGATACTACAAACTTGTCTTGTCTTTAGAAAGTTTCATGTGATAGTAGTATATGTATATATTCCTTGAAATTCCACAAAAGCAACCGTGTTTTGTAAGTCACTAATTCAAAATAATAAAAATCCCTTTATAAAATTCATCTCTTAAGAAATACTAAAGTTAGGAGCATTAGTGTTGTGGTGTCCCTAGTAAAGTTGTATCTTAGTCCATGTTTTTTTGGTACTCAGTTGCAGGCACCGAGACGGCATTGTTGTGATATATTGCCTACTACAGTTGGGAATGAGATGGAGATCACCATTAGAGAGTGCAAAGATGATGAATTAATCCACATGAATTGATACTAGTGTGTATGCCATATACTATGGCTATGATATATCGGAGGTTCCTTCACAACCGTCTGATTCAACTAACACGCGCACGATCAACTAGATGGGCATACTTGCATGTACTTTGTTACAATGCCATTTCCAGACCAGATGTAGTTCTGCATCTGATGGTCACAAACCCAAGCCTAATCTGTTTGCAATGGGTATGAAATTTTCAATCACTGGTTGGTAAAGTGAAGACGCCAATTTGGAATTGACCTATTCGATGTTTGCTTGAACACAGATTAGTTAGGTGAGAGAGAAGGTAAATTCAGAAATTGAGACATTCTCATTGCTTGTCAACTTCAAATAAGCTTATGGATACTAGATTATTGTTTATTTTTACCACGTAAAGGAAGTTGTAGATAATTACCTGACGGAATTTCAGATCAAATTCCACTTTTATATTTTACTTTTCATTTTAAACTTTTCTTTTATTGTATGTATGAAGAAATGTACTCAATTAATGGATTTCCCTCTAATAGGGAATCAATGAAAGAGTTGGTCACACTACTTTTCAGTTTTCAAAGAACTGAAAACAGGAAGAGTGCACAAAAATCTCTTCTTTATACATAAGAGTTTTAGATCTTTATTTACCATTTCATGGAGTCAATGCCATGATGTTTCGAAAACATCATTTGGTAACCATTTGTCTAAACTATGTACTACTCTTGTGCGAGAAAATATTGATTGAATGAGCCAAGCATAGCAGGTTGTTGGTATATCCACCCAACCAACATGCTTCATTCATTGAAAGTCCCACTTACACAAAATAACTTGGCAACCTATAACAGTCATATACACCTCAAATCCATCTCCAGAGTCATTGGGAGGAGCACTCATTTCGCAAAAGGACATGTAATTCACTAAAGGAGCACTTCAAAATCTTTCAATATAAATTGCCACAACCAATCTTCTCAAGTAACAAACAGTAATTTAAGCATATTAACACTAAAAATCATGTCATGCGGCTGCCAAAAAAACAGGAGTTTGATTAAAATGTTTAATGCTACAGGGAAAAAGAAACGAATAGGTCTTTTATCCATGGGTTTTCATATAAATTCTTCAATATGCAGCAACAACGCCCCAGACAATAAATAAAATGATGATCGGACAGGCCAAACACAACAGTGAGCGTGATGGGCATTTGTTGAAATCAGGAAAGTAAGAAAAGTGAGAATTCCACTGACTTAGGCATGAAACAGAACCAATGAACCACTCCTGTTGTTTCACGCAGAAGTTTAAGCAGATAATTAACAGGAAGAAAAAAATGAAATAGTCATTCTTATAATAATATAAAGTAATTTTATGCATTCAATGGAACTGCCTCATTCCAAATGCTGCAGAAAATAGAACAAAGTTCAAATGTTTCACGGAAGGAAATTGAACAACTTTCACCAGTGGCATCCAGATGAACCCTTCTTTTCCCAACTTTCACTTTTCAGTGGCATCGTCCACGTCCATGGCGACTAAACTTTTTATTCTTCACTCCATTTTAAGTCGGGTGAAGGTAAGTTATTGTTCTTCTACTGATGATTTCATAGATTTTTTCTGGACCTTCTGGGTCCTTAGGCTTCAGTTCTGTTTTTTGTATGCGGGACTCGTTCCTCTTTTAAACGCTTTTTTTGTTTCAATCCACATTTACTTATCACCCAAAAAAAAAAAAAAAAGCTTCTTTTCCCAATGTTTAAGATGAATAGTAAGGCTTCCAGGCAGAAACCTATCCCAGTAAATTCTGATACAGTCATAACATTATTCAGCATCAATGTAGTTGACAACAACAACAAAAGGAACAAAAGACGAAAAACAGATTCAATTCTTTGGCACAAAGAATGAGAACAAACCATCCTCCAACTTAAGCAACTGGAGGGCGCAGCACGTGATCCTGCGATGTGTCAACCACAGCAGGTGGCATGAATTGCCACATTGCAACCCCGGGGTAACCAATGAAGGGCATCAGCTTGTTGCCAGCAGCTTGCCTTTGAGCAGCTAATGCAGCCGGCATTGCAGAGAGATGTGGCAGAAAGCCTGGTTGTGCGCTCATGGCTTTGACTTGTTGCTCCAGCTTCTCTTTATCTTCCTTTAGCCTCTGCTTCTCATCACGTAGCTCATTCTTCTCAGCCTGCACAAATGGAGACATTACAGACATTTCACCCAGATTCCTTCATAAAACATCATTGATATGAGGCCTTGCTGGACAAGAAAGAGATGCTATCAAAGCTTTCTAAATTGAAGATTAGCTTTAAAGCAAACCGAATCCAAACCTCACCTTCAATTCTTTAATCTTCATTTGCAAATCCTCATTTGAGTCCTTCAGGTTCTGGGCTTCAGTTCGTAGCTGAGCCACCATTCGAACAGCATCACTAAGAACAGCAACCTTGTCTGCTTTGGGTGGCCTTCCAGGGTCCAGGACAGAACCCAACTCCAGGAACCTTGAAATAATGCCAAGGTTGATGTGAGATTTTCAGACACAGAACACTGAGAGAGAGTAGAAAGAATAATAGCATACTTCTCGTTCAGCCTATCCCTTCTCAATTTCTCACGACATGCTTTGGAGCCAGATCCAGTACATGATTCAGACTTCAACCTATATTAGCAATTGCACACGCATAATTAAACATAATTAGAGAAGAAGGCAACATTTTGATTAAATTCCTTCTGTGATAAACAGAAAAAAACATAATTGCACTGCAACACCTTTTAAAGAAAATTTCACAAGTCAAATTGGGGGAACAGTTCACTTATATTTTCCTATTTTATTCCTTACTTAAATGTTAATCTGGGGTTTCGTCAAGGACATAATAGATTCTTGCTATGAAGCACTGACATGGCTTGATGTGCCAACGTACTGGTGTTGGACACGTGTCCGACACTTGGTAGAAGTATCCGATTATTTTATATATTTTTTATTGACCGGACACGTCAAAGGATATGCCCGGACACGCTAGGACACGCCAGACGACACATCTCAGGCCCAATCAAGCCTATTTGTTTGAAAAAAGCAGAGAGAAGAAGATGATATATGTATCTGTATATATTCATTTTCTATACATAAGAAACAGAGAAAAGCCCAAAGAATCAACGTATCATTGTATAAACTGTAAAATGATACAATAGGCTCAGATCGTTTGGGGTCGTTGATCTTGACTTGATCCAATGAGTCAATTTCAGGTCGGTCACTCCCCTGCCCCTACCTCAGGAAAAAGATGGGAAAGAGTTGGAAAAGAAGAAAGTTTTCAGAATATGAAGAGATGGGGGATGAGAGAATGATGGAAAGAAAAAGACGTGTCAACGAAAGAGAGAAGAATGGGAAGAGATAGACAGACGTGTCATTGAGATACAATCTTATCACTTTTACTAGTTGTTTGGTTACAAGAATTTGAAATACTGGTTGTTAAAATAATCTCTGATTGCTGAATTTCATGAAATTAGTAAAAGTGAGTTTTCAAAGACTGGTTCATTTGGGCTTGTAGGCCTATATTTATTCTTTAATAGAAATATGAGATGTATGGTGGGTCTTATATATCATATTTATGGATATAGATAAAAGAAATTGAGCAAAAATTAATTTTATTTATATAAAAATAAATTATATATTATTTTATTGCCATATCCTTGCCGTGTCTTGTTAAAGGCACGACTAGGCTCCACAAAAAGCCCCAGGCTCGTCAAGGCTCACCTAGAGCGCCTCAACCTACTACGGGCCAGGCCCCTTCAATCAGGCTTATATAAAGCCCTCAGGAACAAGGGCGCGCCTTGTACTTTTTAATCATTTATTCATATCAATTTCTTTTTTACTTGATGACTAGTAAATTAAAAGGTTCTCTATCATATACTGTATTGTTTAACCTTATGAAATATTTGCAAAAGTTCATAAATTTATGGTTCACTACTTAACTGCAATTACTGCTTAATTATGAATATATATAATAATATATGTTTAAATATGCATTATTATATACACGCGCCTTAGTTCGATCAGGCTTGCACCTTATACTGCCCTTGCGCTTAGGCTCCAGAAGGCCTTTGGCGCCTTAGTGTGCTTTGAGCCTTTAACAACTATGCGTGTCCGTGTCCTAATTTTTTTAAAGATTTGCCGTATCGCCAAGTTTGTGTTGTGTCGTGTCCGTGTTCATGCTTCATAGTATTCTTGGGATGGATCATAAACCAGTTCATTTTGGTACTGAAAAAGACCCATACAGTTAAAGGAAGACGATACAATGGTGCTTATGTGAACCCACAAGAGGATTCACAGTGCTCACTAACACCACTGTGGATGATTGTCAACCTAAATCAAATGGCACCCATTTAAGCAGCAAGTTTGATCAAGCAATTAGTTGGCCACATTACAAGTTTCAGGCTATGAGATAAGAGAATATTACTTGAAAAACAAATATAATAGGACAGGAAAATGTCTAGAAAGGAAAAAATAATAATAATAATAATAATAATAATAAATAAAAAAGGAGGTCAATATGATTCCATTTTATGCTTTTCTAGCACCCATAGATTAAAAGGAGTTAAGAGAGTACAGCACCAAAATACAATGTATGGTATATGTTTCAACACAAATGAATGTTATGTGAAATGGACATATAACATCTTTATGTATGTTTTATACATAGACAGACGTGATTAGATACATGAATACATTAATACACACGAACATACTTGAGGTTCTGAAGAGGTCAGTATTGTACATTTACTGAGTTACCAAATGAACCTTAAGCATTTCGCTATCATATGTTTACATGTATTCTTAAGTGCATAGTATATTATCAACGCCTATGTGCATAGATAACTCAAATGCATTCTAATTATAGAACATTATGAGTCGTTAGTTGAAGTTTCATTTTGAAGTCTCAACTCTCAAGTTCAACTTCATCATCCGTATGATTCCTTAGAATGCACTACACTCTACAAGGAAGCCAAACCAGACTGAATCAGTTTAACCTACCCAAGTTGTTTAGGTCCCTTTAATGCTATCTGATAATTAAAAACTAGAAGTGTAATTGTAATTATGGGACCATGTCAGGAAGCCTATCCTTGATTTTGAGGTTTTACAATGAGCCTATATTAACCTATGTGCACAAACTCGGGGTCCAAGTTTACACTCATAATTGCTGTTGACTGTTTCGTCTGGTTTGGTTTGGTTTTTTCTTCTTTGTCATGCGCTCTTTCTTGGAGGTAGCTAGATTGCCTCGATTGTTCCAAGGTGGATCCGCTAGATCTGCAAATCCGTATAGAGGCCCATCGATTTTCTTGGATGATGTTTCGGTACGAAGAAGAAGAGAAGATCTTTGATCGTGTCTGGTTGGGAAATTTGATAAGGAAGTGGGTGACGGGGCTCAGATTGCGGCTTGGGCCGAGCGTACTTAGAAGATCTCCGCAAGAGTGACGGTCTCGACTCTGCCGGATTCTTTGTTGCTTTTCCGGTTTCCCTCATTGACGGAAGCCTCTCGTGTTCTTAAAGGGGGTCGCCGTGACTGGGGTACGGCATCTCTTTGTTTGGAGGCTTGGAGCTTTAGGGTTAGGTGCTCGGAAGTGTTGAAAGAGAAGGGGCTGAAGAAGGTGACGCTGTACGGTCTTCCTCTCCACCTCTGGTGTCATGCTTTGTTCGTGACAGTTGGTGATCTTGGTGGTGGGTTTATTTGGGTGGAAGCTGATGAAGCTTTGGACGCTGAAAGAGTCCGTATTACCGTCGCCGATGGTCGGGTTTGCCCTCCGTTTGTGTTTATTCACGATGATCAGTTTTGCTATAAGGTGTTGATTTGGGAGGAGAAGCCTCCTGAGCTTGTTCCAACGACAGATAGCTTGGAAGGTGGTGATGGTTTGCACTTGCTTAAGGAGAAAGAATGGCTGCAGTGGGAATCCATGGGGAAAAAAGGAATGGCAGAATTCCAGGTATGGAAAGAATGGAGGGACGCACTTTGGATTCATAATTCGGAGTGCTTTAAACGGATCTTCAATTAGAAGCGGAAGGAAGGGCTTCCTTTTTTGCAAAATCGCCGTTGGAATGATGGGCTTCGAATGATGCAGTGGGGCGGAGGTTTTGCCGGATTTGGTCGTCGGCCTTTTGTGCAGCAACGGGATCAATCAAGACGAATAGGTGGTTTCCATGCACATCAGGCGCGTGGGAGGGAGAGGTTTTCAGAGCGTCCACGTGGTTGGCGCTCAGGATTTGTCCGTTCCCAATGGAGACCAGCTGTCCCCACGGTCAATTCAAATTTCACTTCAAATTTGGCTTCCCATATAGTTAGGCCTGATGGAAGGCTTGGTTACGAGGCTACTATTTCTTGCAATGGTGGGCCTAAGTATGTTGGGCCGCTTGTTGGGCCTGAAAGGCCTAATTCAATTTCTAAGAGGCTTATTTTTGTTTCTTTGGGATCTGAATGTGATGTGCAAGTTCCTTGTGCTGTGGTTGGTGGGCCGAGCGTCCAGTCTTCTAAAGAAGTTAATGTTGACGGGTCTGCGGGATTAAAAAGTGGGCCGAGTTATGGATCTGGGCCGGTGTCTAACAGGTTTGAGCCCTTGTCCTCCTTGCGAGATGATAGAGCTCCTTGTGTTGCTGGGTCGATGAAAACGAGAATGAACGTTGATCGGCGAGTGAAGGATCCGGTCCTGAGACGTCGGTTGCCGAAGAAAAAGGTGATCCTTCTCGCTTTTCGTAAGAAATGGTCACGAAAGGATAAGCAAAAATGGGTGGTATCTTCGCAATCCGGTTTTGAATCGGGTATGTTTTCAGTTCCTTTTGGTTCTTCTCCTATTAAACCGTGTTTCTCTTCTTCTTCTTCTCCTTTTTTGGGGGACTCGACAATGTCTTTGGAACGGGTGAAGGGTGGGACAACTTCTGTTTCGTTCTCTAAAGAATCGGAGGGTGAGAGGGACTCTGTTTTTGTGGACAGACAGGATGGTGATTCTGGGTTTGGACTTGGTTTCTCTTGGCGATGTGAAGGTTTGTGCGAGGGAGTTACAGTTTGTGTTGGTTGGGATGTGAAGGTGAAGCTTGATGATGATACGGCTGCTTTTCTGTTGAAGGAGATACGGGACCATTTTGCGGCGAAAGGCTTTCTTGGTGATTCAGGAGGAGTTTTGACAGAGGAGGAGCCTGTTTCACAGTTTTGCTCGCATTCCTCTTCTGTTCTTGATGATTGGGAGGGAGCTGCAGGTTCTTCTCTGGATGGAGACTCGGGCATGATTCCATGGTAAGACTTGGAACAAGCAGTGAATTTGGCTGTTCCTTTGGCTGTTGTTCCGCCTAGGGGTAATTGGGTTAGCGACTCGAATGTTGTCGGAGTGAATGATCTTGAGGAGGAGTGGGTGAGGGAGAAGGGATTGGAAGTGGGTCCTTTGTTAGGGGTTTCTTTTGAGGGTAGAGTGGATGAGGCACTGTGTTTGTTTAATAATGTCCTCAATTCTCATTTTCAGGAAAAAGCAGGTGGTAAGATAGGGTTAAAGGAGGAGAGAGGGGAGACAGTTATGCAAAGCCCCAATGATTTTATCACGTATGAAAGGAGAAATAGGGGGTCCAGATCAGGAGGGAGAGGTGGTGGAAGGAAGGGAGGGTTTGCTTTCTAAAGTGTTTCCCTATGAAGTTACATATTCTTTCATGGAATGTCCGGGGTCTCAATGATTCGGTCAGGAAAAAAGTGGTGAAGTCGGTTATCCGTAAAGGTCGGGGTCATGTGGTGTGTCTCCAAGAGACCAAACTTTCTTCGACGTCTGATAGGATTGTGAGGAGTCTTTGGGGTTGGAGATTTGTGGAGTGGATTGCTTTGGATGCTATTGATTCCTCGGGGGGCATCTTGATCATGTGGGATAACAGAGAGGTGTCTAAAGTGGAGGCTCAGGTGGGGCGCTTCTCTGTTTCTTATGTTCTTACTTTGGTTGAGGATGGTTTTAATTAGGTCTTTTCGGGTGTTTATGGTCCTTTGGAGGATGGTGTGCACCACTTGCTTTGGGAGGAGTTGGGGAAGATTAGAAGTCGATGGTGTTTGCCTTAGTGTATTGGTGGGGACTTCAATGTGGTTCGCTCTCCGTTTGAGAGGTCAACGGGAGGTAGGTGGACGTTTGATATGGAGGTTTTCTCGGAGTTTATTGATGAATTCGGGTTGGTTGATTTGCCTTTGGTTGGAGGGCCGTTTACTTGGTCCAGTGGCCGTACCCCTCCTACCCTTTCCCGGATTGACAGATTCCTTGTGTCGGGGGAGTGGGAGGAGAGGTTCTCGGAAGTTGTTCAAGCATCGTTGCCTCGTCCTATCTCTGACCATGTTCCGTTGTTGTTGGATTGTGGCGGGTTGTGCAGTAGACGATCTCCTTTTAGATTTGAGAATGTGTGGTTGCGGGCTAAGGGCTTTCTTGAGTGGGTTCGTCTTTGGTGGGAGGGGTATGGTGTGGTGGGCACCGCTAGTCATCTGCTTGCAGGCAATTAGCGTCTTTTAAAGGAGAATCTTAAGACTTGGAATAAAGAGGTCTTTGGGAATCTGGAATGGAGAAAAAAATTCTTACGGAGATTGCGGCTATTGACCGTATGGAGGGTCAAGGGGATTTGGTGGAAGCTTTGAAGCTTAGGAGGGCGGAGTGCAAGGCAGAGTTTTCTGAGATTGCTATCATGGAGGAGATCTCGTGGAGGCAAAAATCTCGAGCCTTATGGCTCAAGGAGGGGGATAGAAACACGAAATTTTTCCACAGATTGACCACTGTTCATAGAAGAGGAAATCATATAGGGAGGATTCGGGTTGAGGGGGTTACTCTGTAAGGAGGAGGAAATCTGCAAAGGAATTTCAGAGTTCTTTGAGAAGTTGTTCTTAGAGACTGTTGAGTGGAGACCTTTGCTTGAAGGGTTGCAGTTTGCCTCTATTTCTGAGGAGGAGTGCTTGGGTTTGGAGTTGCCTTTTTCTGAGGAGGAAGTGCTGATTGCTTTGAAGAGTTGCAATGGGGATAAGGCCCCAGGTCTAGATGGTTTCACCATGAGGTTTCTTCTTGATTGCTGGGAGGTGGTTAAAGGAGAGGTGATGGGCACTTTCCATGCTTTCCATTCTCGAGGATTTTTTGAGAAAAGCTTGAATGCCACGTTCATTGCTCTCGTTCCGAAAAAAGAGGGGGGGGGGGGGGGGGGGGGGCATTGGATGTGAGGGATTTTTGCCCTATTAGTTTGGTGGGTTGTATCTACAAGTTGATTGCCAAAGTGCTCGCTTCTAGATTGAGGAAAGTTTTGGATGGTATCATTTCGGACTCTCAAAATGCTTTTGTAGGAGGCCGTTAGATTTTGGATTCAGTCCTTATTGCAAGTGAGTGTGTGGACTCCAGATTGCGTAGTGGGGTCCCGAGTGTTCTTTGTAAGTTGGACATTGAGAAAGCGTATGACCATGTGAGTTGGAGCTTTCTTCTGTACTTGATGGAGAGGATGGGGTTCGGTGATAGGTGGAGGAGATGGATTCAGTTTTGTATTTCTAGTGCTTGCTTTTTGGTCCTTGTTAATGGTGCTCCTACCGGTTTTTTCTCTAGCTCAAGGGGCTTGAGACAGGGGGATCCTCTCTCCCCCTTCTTGTTCTTGCTTGTGATGGAGGCCCATAGTAGATTGATGCGAAGGGCTGCTGATTTGGGTCTTGTGAGAGGCTTTCGGGTGGGCAGGGATGCTGCTTCTCAGTTGGAGATCTCTCATTTGATGTTTGCTGATGACACTCTGGTTCTTTGTGATGCGAATGTGTCCCAGATTAGATATCTGACATGTGTCTTGATTTGGTTCCATGTTATCTCTGGCCTTAAGGTGAATGTGGGCAAGAGTGTTTTGGTGCCGGTTGAGGAGGTTCCTGAGATTGAGACTTTTGCTGACATCCTTGGATGTCGCACTGGTGCTTTTCCCATTTCTTACTTAGGTTTGCCTCTGGGAGCTCCTTCGAGGTGTGTGGGGATTTGGGATCCAGTTGTAGATAGATTTGAGAGAAGGTTGGCAGGTTGGAAGAAGCAGTATCTTTCCAAGGGCAGCAGGGTCACTCTGATTAAGAGTACCCTCTCTAGCCTTCCCACTTATTTTCTCTCTCTTTCAGATTCCATCTTCAGTTGTGGAGAGGATTGAGAGGTTGCAGCGTAATTTTCTGTGGGGGGGCAGAGGTGAAGAGTTTAAGTTCCATTTGGTGAGATGGGATCAGGTATGCAGGCCTATTCGGAATGGTGGGCTGGGTCTTCGTAGATTGGTGCCCTTTAATAAGGCCCTTCTTGGAAAATGGTTGTGGAGGTTTGGTGTGGAGAGACATTGGCTTTGGAGGAGGGTTGCGGCTTGTCGTTTTGGAGAGATGAGAGGAAGGTGGAGCTCTTTGGAAGTTAGAAATCCTCGGGGGGTGGGAGTTTGGAAATTTATTCGGAAGGGTTGGGATGATTTTTCCTAGCACATTCAGTTTCGTCTTAGAGATGGGAGGAGGATTTGTTTTTGGGAGGATGTGTGGTGTGGTGTGGTGATGCTCCTTTTGCTCTTGCCTTTCCTCAACTTTACAGGATTGCTTCGGATAGGCAGGCCTTGGTGGTTAACTGTTATCATCTTGATAATGGGAGACTGGTTTGGGATGTTCGATTCAGGCATGCCTTTCAGGATTGGGAGATTGATGAGGCAATTCGTCTCTTGGAGTTGTTATATCGCCAGAGGATTGTGGTGGAGGATTCGGATTGTTGGTATTGGGTCGCAAACTCCAAGGAGCGTTTTGAGGTGAGGTCTTTCTTCAAGTGCCTCTCTTTTGATCCTGGAGTTCGTTTTCCTTGGAAGTCTGTTTGGCATTCTAAGGCTCCTCTCAAAGCGGCTTTCTTTGTGTGGACTTCGGTTCTGGGTAGGATCTTAACCCAGGATAATTTGAGAAGGAGAAGCCAGGTGGTGGTCAATCGTTGTTATATGTGTCTTCGTGATGAGGAATCTGTGGATCACCTTCTTATTCATTGCTCTTTGGCTAGAGAGTGTTGGGATTTAATGCTTGGCTTATTTGGGTTTTATTGGGTTATGCCAGGATCTACTAGAGAGTTGATTGAGATGTGGAGAGGTTACCATGTGGGGGCTCTCAGTCAGGATGTGTGGAGAGCTACGCCGCTTTGTGTGTGGTGGTGTATTTGGCTTGAAAGGAATAGGAGATACTTTGAAGGAAAGGCGGTGTCGATTTCGGTGCTTAAATTCTCGATTATTTCAACTCTTTTTTGTTGGGTTTCAGGGAGAGATCATAGATCGTTGGAGGAAATTGTTGATTTTTTGGCCTCTTTGAAGGCTTGAGTCCTTTGTGCTCTTTTGTATTTTCTTGGGTTTCGCTCCCCTCTTGAGCGTCTTTTAATAATATTCTTTTATTTATCAAAAAAAAAAAAATTCCTCTATAGTTCACATACGTGATATTGGGTGGTCACGACATTTATTATCATGCTAACAAGCACTTAATCTTTTCAAGAGTAAACTCATGAACAATTTATGCCATTTACTTTTAGATCCAATGATTCTAATCATTGCTTCTTTCACATATGGAGGTTTTAGATTTAGAGAGAAAACACGACTGATTTTTTTTTTTAGGAGTTGTCTAAATTATCAATGATGATTTGGGTGTGAATATCCTAGATTGAGCTTAGGAAGGATCCATCAAATACCAAGGAAATGTTGGGAGCAGCAAGTGCAAGTAGGTCACCTACTCCGGGGAAAAGGGAAAATGAATAAGTTCTAGTAGATCAAATAACTAGAGAGTAAAAACACAATAATACCTAATCTGGAATCATTGACCATAACCAGTGTCCAGGCAGAAATATTGTTTACTAAGACTTGTAGAAGAGCAAGTATGAGATATATACCGTTTTCGTGAGCCAGCTTCCTTAAGGCCTTCAGAATCCCCAAACGAGCAGTCAATTTCAGCACTGAAAACAGAACTTAGACATAGAGATAATGGCAGAAAAGGAAAGGGGAAAAATAAATAAATAAATAAATTGACAAGATTAAAAAAAGAGAGAAAGAAAACACCATTTTTAACTGAGGGTTATAGCCTAGTGGTACTTCTTCAAATTCCAAAGTAGAAGGTTGAGGGTTCAAATCCCCATAGGAGCAAAGTGGGTGCGTGAGTTTCTTGCCAAAGTAATAAATAAATAAATGATTAACTCATACTTTACATCTATCCTGTACATGAACTAGGCCAGTTCGGTGGACAAGTCCTATGGCAATGAAATATATATGTTGATAAATTGATGGTTCTAAAGTTCTAATGATATGATTGTAAATTAAAGCTCATTTTATATCCTCCAAACAATGAATCGCCTAGTCCATAAACAGAAGATATGAAGAGCAGATGTGCCACTCATAATTCTAACCTCAAGCACAAGGAGAAAGAAACCATAAACCACCAAAGTCTTGACTATAGTGGTATATCCTCCATCCTTGAAAGGGCATATGCGTGTAAGTTTACTTACCTATCAGATAAAATAAAATAAAAAAACAAAACAAAACATAACATACCAGGCAAAATGTTTAGTGTGTACTCAGCCAAGATAAGTTGATGTCAACTGACTTAGAGAAACAAATGCAGAAATTGGAAAGTTGAAGTGAAATTGAAAGAACCCAAATGGATTTTAAATTAATATGTATCACAGCAAGTTCACTGCTTTAGTTCAACTGTTTTCGTATCACTAAATGTAATATATTCTAGTAGATTTTTAAGTTTTGAACTTCCCTACAAATGACTAACGCACAAGTTTTTTTTCACAAGTTCTAACACTATCAAGGGACAGTCCTAATAAAGAATTAAGGATCAGTTTGTGTACATACTTAGTTCCAAGATGCACACAAAATGTTAAATAGATACTAGAACTCTGTCGCTCATAAACTTCCCAAGAGGCAACAAAAGTGAAATTGGAGTACCTCTTACACCCGGCTATTATACAGACAAAAGTTGTGGTTTGAACAGACAGACAGTTACCAAACTCATCACACTTTAAGCACACAAGTTCACTGTGCCACATAATCATATCTAAAGAAGTGCATTCAAACAAAGCATTAAGTAAGATTATGTTCTTCTTCTAAAAAAGCTACTTCCATTTTAAGAATTCAGTCAATTAATCACTTAACTAAAAAATATAACAAACAGGGAATAATAAATTTTAGAATTTCTCAGAATACGCAGGTAAAAAATAAAATCTTAAACTCTGAAACTTTCTTCCGATAGGAATAACAAAAGTACAAAACTAAAAACAAAACTCAGTTGAGCCCAATTCAACCACTTGACTTAGTTTAGGTTTCTTTTTTCACATTACTTGGCAACCAAATCACACAATATTAAATTTTCTTTAGTTCTGATTTACTTTTCTCAGCAGCCAAACGAAGAATTAAAGCAGAGGAAAGAAATAAAAGAAAGAAGGGTTAAGGGTTATAATTGCACACCTTACGTTGGAGGAAGCGTCGAGAGATTGAGAGGGCCAGCCGAAACCGGTGAGAGGCGGTGGCGGCTCCTGAAAGCCTCCGCCGGAGACGGCGGCTATGTCTTCCATCAAGCCATAGTCAAAAAGCCAGTTAGAATTCTCCGCAGAATCAATTTCCATTGACTTGAAATTGCCGGAAAATATGTGAAGGGGCGTGTTTGGTTGAAAACATAGAGAAGAAGAAAAAAAGAGTTCTGTTTGGATGATTAGAGAGTGGGACTGATGACAGCGTTGAGTGTCCCACAGTGTTGCATACGTCACCAAAGTAAACGCTTCAAGTAATGGGCCACAGGCCTTGTTTGGAGGCATAGCGAGCTGCTGAATATTGGGCCTTGCCTTGACCTTGGGCTTAGGCACTTGGTCAATGGATTAAAATAGTTTTCAACTGCCCTTCCAACCCTTTTTTTTATTCTTCATCTTCTCACCAAGTAGATCAATCCGATTAATTTTATGTAAATAAAAATTAATGTCATCGCGTTAGAGATATTGATTACTTCCTAATAATGACATTAGTCCCACTCAAATCGTCCAACTTGAGAACTCCAAATTATTATTTTTTATTTTTATATAACAACTTTGTTTCACTTCTTTTGGGGATAGCATCTACAATAACAACTTTATTTACTTCTTTTGGGTTTAGCATCTACAATAATTCTTCATCAAATGGAATTAAAATGGTATACACACAACATTTATAAGCAAATAGGTAATTTGTGAATGATCAGAAAATTTGGATAATATAAAAGTATATAACTTTTTACATGGCAAGAATGTTAAGGAGTTAGTGGTTAATGGGGAGAGGGACGTGAAGCCGGACTTGCAAGGATAACGAAGAGCAACCTTAATGCTTGGACTACAAGGACGTTCAGAAAATATTTTCTACTAGGTAAACAAATTTTTTTTGATAAGAAACAAGTTTAGCAAGAAGGGATTCGGACTTCAGACTTCAGATTCAATGTAAAAGTGTATATAGTCTGAAGATAATGCTCTTACACAACCAATAGGCTTGTGGCTTAGAGGTACCAGATCCCTATTTCTTAAAGGGAGGTCAGGGATTTGACCCTCAGTGGAGATATGTGTGTGTGAGTACCAACTAAGAAAAAAAAAATATTGTTGCACAGACCGTAATAAAAAACTTTCTAGGTCATTTCTCTTTCAAAACTTAACTAAGCTTTCACTAAATCTTGTATAAATACTCATTACATAATGGTTTTATACACAACTAAATCTAAACAAAAATAGATTTGCAGTACTTTTTAAGTTTTAATTGATAAACATTGGATTAGAAATGATTGAAGAGAAAAATTATTGAAGAGAATCCATGTCGGCACTGGTAGCATAATAAAGTCAAGATATCAGATGAATTAGATGCGCTCTCTCAGTATAAATGAACGGCTACTAGCATTCTCGCAGGCCTCACATTCAAAATGCCAAAAAAAAAAAAAAAAAAAAAAAAAAAAAAAGAAGTTGGAATAATTTCAACTTGTGGAAAATATCTACAAATTAATATCTATGAATTGTTCTTTTGTGCATCCCCAATGATCATTTTTACCAATAAATTCTTGCATATTGTTTGTATGTACATACACAGGCAGAACAGACACATACAAGAGAGAGAGAGAGAATTGACAATAAAAATGAGATATTAAAAAAAAAATTAAAAGATTATAACCAAACGAAAAGGAGTTGTTCATGATTTGTATTTGATCTGTGCACGTATGAGAAATAAACACTAACCACTTATTTGTTCTTTCAATATTCACTGTTCTCTCTTCCACCACATATTAGAGAACATCATCCAAAAGCTACAGATTTCAGAAGCGCACACATCATTTTCAGACTCAGCCCACAAAAAATGCCTAAATCAATCATAATCAGAAAATAACAAATCAGATCTTTTCATCTTTTTAAGCATTTTCATACACTAAATGTTTCTCGTCTCTTCTCTTCTGCTCAACTATATACATTTACATAGCATATCAATTCAAACAAACTAGCTATTCCACTTACAAGTAGGAAGAAATAAGCCTCACCCACCACCATGACCAGCATCATGTATCCAAAACTTGGCGGTTTGGGGAAGAGAATTAGACTTCACCAGCCAGAACTGCCCCTCGAAATGCCATCTGTTTATCGAGTTCAGAAAGTCCATACAGAAACACAAGCAAATTGGTTAGGACGAAAGCATGTTCACACATTCAGTATTGGAAGTATGGTTAGAAATCCTCAAGCTGTGGCTTCTGAGCTTTCCACCACCGAACCTGCAGAGGTAACTAGTCATCTCTAAATCTTTCTAGCTATCAGTTTTATAACATATGGCCAAGAGAACTCTCAGTGAGAAGGAAACCAGAACCATATAGCTGTTATAGTTTTGCATGTGTTGAGACGTGTTTCATCACCTCATGGACATTCTTGTCATTTTGAAAATTATGCGGGCAGTTAAGGACATTATGCCCTCAGGGGCAAAATCACCCTATTTTCCCCAGAATTCACATCCCCACATTTTTTTATGTAGGTGAATAATAGAGCATGGAAGTCATTTTCAAGTGGACCACACAAAAATTCATGCACAATGTAACAATTTGGACTAAAGTTAACAAATGGCCCCACTTGGCACACATCAATATGCACTCTCGGACGTTTAAAGATAAGGAGACAGTAAATAATATATGCTACAACCTTTTATAAAAGGAGGTGACCAAAGTGTAGCATCTCTAATTTCATTCTCACAAGGGAAAGCTAAAATCTCCTCTCCCCTCTTCTTCTAAAAAATGCAGGCTCCAACTCTCAACAATGATGGTGAAAAGATGCTAGCAAACTACGTGCCGGTCTTTGTGATGCTTCCTGTAAGTCACAAAAAAGTTCTGTTTTTACACACATTGTATAAAGTTACATAGTAAGACTAGAATAAACAAGATTTTGATGCTAATATGATATATGTTTTCTTTTTTTCCAATTTTGGTGTGGTGAGAACAGCTGGGAGTTATTACACTTGACAATGTCTTGGAAAACAAAGATGAGCTTGACAAACAGCTCAAGGAGCTGAGAGCAGCAGGTGTTGATGGGGTCATGTTGGATGTCTGGTGGGGGATCGTAGAATTGGAAGGCCCTAAGCAGTATGATTGGACTGCGTACAGGAGCTTGTTTCAACTGGTTCAACAACGTGGATTGAAATTACAAGCCGTAATGTCTTTCCACCAATGTGGTGGCAACATAGGAGATATTGTGACCATCCCACTTCCCCAGTGGATTCTTGATGTTGGAGAATCAGACCCTGACATCTTTTACACTAATCGAGCAGGTAACAGGAACAAAGAGTACCTCACACTAGCGGTGGACAACCTGCCTCTCTTTGCAGGGCGAACTGCTGTTGAGGTTAGATTCACTAAAACCTTATCCTTTTCAAATCTTAGTTGCCAAGTGCGATCTGTTTCAATATTTCTGCCCAGTTAAATTACTGTATACATAATATATATCAGCGACTGTATCCATTTTAGTGTGGCACGTCTCTGGAGCATTCTGGGTATATCTGGGATTCAATTATCGAGTATCACAGAAAAAAAAACATCTAAAAGTTGACTTCTTCTGTTGTAAAAACTAGATTAGAGTGAGGTGTCCACAAAAGAATTGTCCTTGTCTTGATTTTATGATCCATCTGTTTTTGTAACATTGGTTTAGAAATAAATTTGGGAACAAAAAAACTTCTATATGTTTTTCACTAAATCTAGCTGAGTGAGTTCTTAATGGTTTGATAGTTTTTAACAACCATATTCATTTTACACATGTTTATCTAAATAAAATAAATAAATTGCTCTAAAATCCCAAGAAATGTTTTTCCCCTTATTTTTTCTAACAACAACTCTGTTCTAGATGTGAATTAATAATGGATAACACAAATCAATGTAATTAAAAAATATAATCAGAGGTAAAATTCAAACAACTCAACATTTCAAATCAGTGTAGTCTCCGTTGATACTGTGGGGTTGACCAGGATTAGCAAAATTAAGTATCACCAAATCTGATATTACTTCTTATTAACTCTATGGTCTGTATGCATTTCCAGTGATTTGAACCTTTATTAATATTATCAGCTAAATCTTAATGTTGCTTATTGATCTATTTAGATCTATAGTGACTACATGAAGAGCTTCAGAGAGAACATGTCAGATTTCTTTGAATCCGGACTGATATCAGAAATTGAAGTAGGGCTTGGTCCAGCAGGGGAGCTCAGGTACCCCTCTTATCCAGAAAGTCAAGGATGGGCTTTTCCTGGTATTGGAGAATTTCAGGTGAGATTGTATGTTGACTTGATAATCATATGAACTATTTACCCTCTAGATTAAAAAATGAAATTTCTTTCAGCTTAGATTATGTAATTTAACATTCAATTCTAATTTAATATTGCAGTGCTATGATAAATATATCAAAGCAGAATTCAAGGAGGCTGCAACTAATGCAGGGCACCCTCAATGGAACTTGCCAGATAATGCAGGAGAATATAATGACAAACCCGAATCAACAGGGTTCTTCAAGTCAGAAGGGACATACCTTACTGAAGAAGGGAAGTTCTTCTTGACTTGGTATTCTAACAAGTTACTGAGCCATGGTGATCAAATACTTGATGAAGCCAATAAAGCTTTCCTGGGCTGCAAAGTCAAGTTAGCAGTCAAAGTAATTTCTCAATTTCATATCTGATTTACCAGTAATTACCACCTTTCATCCTATATCAATCAAAGTATTGATACTGATTTCATTGTCAAAACAGGTAGCTGGAATCCATTGGTGGTATAAAGATGATAATCATGCTGCGGAGCTAACTGCAGGATACTACAACTTGAAAGATAGAGATGGGTACAGACCCACAGCAAGAATGTTGTCCAGGCATTATGCAGTTTTGTGCTTCACATGTCTTGAAATGAGGAACTCTGAACAAAGCACTGACGCCAAAAGTGGACCTCAGGAACTTGTTCAGCAGGTAAAACAAGCAAGAAACACATTCCATTTTTATATCAATTTTCAAGTTAAATCCATATGGTGTCTGAGAAAAACCCTTTGCCTAAGCTATTTCCAGAACATAATTTCCATCAGAGAACTTGCTTAACTGTCTTTCTTAGAAACACATCCAAATGAATAAATTTATTCTTTCCTAGCTTAGATAGATGACATATCCTGATAAAACGCAGGCATCACTAATACTTCCCAATTATTTCTATCACTCATTTGATGGTCTTCAATCAAACAATATCAAAATATATAACCTTTTTGGATCAACAGATCCTACTGCCCCCACAACAAAAAAAAAGAAGAACACTTCCTTATAATAATGAAATTTATTTTTAAGATTCAATTACATTCCAAGAAATCGAAACTATCATATGCAGGTTTTGAGCGGAGGATGGAGAGAGAATATCGATGTTGCAGGTGAAAATGCACTTGCAAGATACGATCGTGCGGCTTATAATCAAATTCTCTTAAACGCTAGGCCAAATGGTGTCAACAGAAATGGTCCACCAAAATTGAGGATGTCTGGGGTGACATACCTGCGTTTATCAGATGGTCTTCTAGACGGGAAGAACTTTAGGATATTCAAAACATTTGTGAAGAAAATGCATGCTGATCAGGTAAGCAACCTTCTATTATAAATTACTAAAACGCATATGCTTCAATGGTGAAATTGATGAAAAGTTTAATCCTTTTTTGTTCTTATTGTTATACAATTTTTTCCAGGACTACTGTCCAGATCCTGAAAAGTATAACAGACCTGAAGTACCCTTGGAGCGGTCAAGACCAAATATTCCAATTGAGGATCTTCTGGAAGCAACTGAACCAATGAATCCATTCCCATTTGACAAAGAAACAGACATGAGCGTTGGTGGTTCACTCGCTAATTTGTTGGACAATTTGATTGGCAAGATCACTTCTATATTTAAGTAGGACCAGAGGAGGATAGGAAAATAATACAATTCAAAGATCAGAAGAGTTGCCAGAGTCTAGAAGCTATTAAAATGTTTTTATATGATGTGTCTGAACAAATTCAGGTCTTTGTTTTTAAATAAAAGAGTTTGCATTTCCCATTTCCAGCTCAAATTAGCAATCAAATTTCAGTTGGATATTCACCCTCCATAATAATAAAAGCTTTCTTTGGGTCAGCATTCTTCATATTACCACCCACAATCAGTGTGTTGTTTGAAGTTAGACTTCATTTGGTCAATTTATCAAACAGTTGCCTTATGGTCCCCATATCCCCGAACTTAAACTCCAAAGCTAAAAGGAGAATTCCCCACATAAATTTTTTATACCAACCCACCAACAAACTACCTTAAAATGGACTCTCCTTCACATTCCAAGAACATGACAATCACCATTCACCACAAACTTTAAGAACCAAAATGGGTAAGTAAAATTGTAAAGCTTTTTGCCAGAACTAAACATTTCAAGATGTAAAACAGAATTTCACTGGAAAAGCAAGCAAGCAAGCATTTCCTTTAATCATGATACTCCAGATTAATGGATTTTTCAATACGATTTGATCAACGATTACCTGGTAAACTTAAATAAGAAGTAGCTGAGTCTGCTATCAGGATCGGGGTTGTTCAGCGACTGCGCGGTTCCACATTGTAGGGAAGTGAGTGGTTTCTCAGAGTTGTGACCCAAAATGGTTCCAAAGCGAGCCCAAAAAAATACTGGAATCCATCAAAATTTGGAGAAGCGGGGTATCGATCCCCGTACCTCTCGCATGCTAAGCGAGCGCTCTACCATCTGAGCTCAATCCCCGACAACTGTTATTTGACTGCGACGCAGTTCCACATTGTAGGAAAGTGACTGGTTTCTCAGAGTTATGATCCAAAATGGTTCCAAAGTTAAAAAAAAAAAAAAAAAAAAAAATGGAGATGCGGGGTATCGATCCCCATACCTCTCGCATGCTAAGCGAGCGCTCTACCATCTGAGCTACATCCCCTACAACTGACATTTGGTGGTTGTCATTTATTGTTTAAATATGTCAAAACTCATCCATAAATACTTAGCATAGTAGAAAGGATTTTTTGATTGATTTTCCATTCACATTCTTTTAAAAATAAGCTTTTGAAAAACTCTTTTGACCATCAAATTTGGAGTGTCATAAATATATTTTTTTTTGAACTATTTTGTTGATCTCGATGAATTTGTACAAAAAAGATATTGAGTATTTTTTATCAACTAGTGGTCCACACCAATAAAGTAGTTTCCCCTTATTGTAGGCTTTTGTCAAGATATTACAAATTTGGTTTAGAAATATTCTTTTTTTTTTACATTGTAAGGCAGAATGTTTGGTGTTCAAATCTCCATAAAGACAAAGTAGGTGTAAAATTTTTATCAATGTAAAAATAATAAATAAAATGGTCGAGGGAGAATGATGCTCACGTCAATGCTTCAAGGAGCGACTCCTCCAACAAATCTTTAGATGAGTGCTCACACCATTAAAAAATAATGATAATAATAAAACTCTACGTAGTTTTCGTCATTGTGGGGTTTGGGAAGGATCAGATGTATAAAGCCTATCCTCCACATCAAAAGTATGTTTCTGGTTTCGAATGTATGACTTCGAAGTTACAATGGAGCAACAATATTATTAAAAATGCATGTTATAGATCTTATAAAATGACAACAATGCCCCAACAAAGGTTTGGTCATCTCCATCAAATTCTTATTAATTTCAAGAGCACCCATAAGGAATCCAAAATGTCCCAAAGAGAGACAAAAAAGGGGGCGTGAGCCCCACTACTGCAAAGTTGTGGGGTAACGCACTTAATGAAATTGAGGTTATGGATTGACTTACATGTACCTTCAGACTGGCATTCTGAATGAACAAAGGTTATTGGATTGACTTTCGTGTTCCTTCGGATCGAGATTTTGAATGGCAGCTAATGAAATGAAGGTTATTTGATTTGGCTTTTGTATTCCTTCAGATCTAGAAAGATTTGAGTGTGTCGATCATACCATGTCATTAATATCGTCACCTGATTATATCTTGTAAAAAAAAAAAGTAAATTTACTTGGGTAGGTCACGTTGATGTGTGAGAATTTAATTCGTCGGTGATATTTATCTTTCTGACCAACTGAACTTGAAACATTTTTGAACTATTTCCTGAACACCACTTTCACTGAGCTAGGTTTAAATGTCAACATTATGAAAAAATCTACATTGATATGGCAATTCTGAATTGGGATTATGTAATAATTATCAAGATTATCAGATAGATATTCTTACAAAATCTCACGCCATTCGGCCAAAGCAAATCCTCCAGTGATCAAGAGCTTCCAAAACACTGGACAAATGGCAGATCACCATAACGACATTCCTTTAATGCAAGCCCAAAACATAAATCACTTACACTACCCTTCTCCCCCACAAAATCACAACATTGAAAGTCCAGCACTAATCATCTTCTCTGTTCCTCTCCTTTCCTTTTCCTCTTAATTTCTTTCCACCGAGCATGTTCATGGGTCGCAACAAGCTCCCCATGAAGAGAATTGAGAACCCAACCACACTCTTCAAGCAACATATTCAAAGCGCAAACATGGAATTGTAAAGAAGGCTAAGGAATTATCAGTACTATGTGACACCGATGTTGCTCTTTTAATGTTTTCTCCTACTGGTCAATTAACTTCCTTCGCTACCAATGGAAGGTTGATATGATCAAAATAAAAAAGAAAGAAAATTAAAAATGGAACTTTTGTTAATGCTCATTATAAGTCATGCTTTTTATTTTTATTTTAGTTAAGTTCATTTTGATAATCTTTTCTTGGGTTTTTGTAGGGTTGAGGATGTCTTTCTTCGTTTCATCAATCGACCTGATGAGTTAAAAAGGGGGTATGTTTTGCTATTAATTGTCTCCATCTGGTTTGTCTATTTAGATTGATTTTGACTTGTGTGCTGACCTAAATTTGTGTGGTCATGCATTGCAGACCTATTTGGAATGAAGAGGTAATTAAAATTGTGTGTGTGTGTGTGTGTGTGTTCACTTGTGTATATATGTTTGGTTTTTCACCTTACTGGTGTGCTTTAATTTTTGTACTCAACAGCATTTATCCGGAAAGCTAAATCAGTTGAAGCATGAAGCAGAAATGCTCTCTCTCTCTCTCTCTCTGTGGAGGAGAACAAACTTGTTTCGACATTGTTTTAATTTTTTTACAACTTTCTAATGAGAATTTTTTCTTCTTGGTTCATGGGAATTAATCACTTACTGATGATGGAACAACAAGCTCAGAATAGAGGTAAGACTTGATTTACTAATTTTATACATGGCCTATGGTGCAAACTGCAAAAGGAAGTGATTTTTAACTTCTAAATCTATGAATAATCAATTTAGTTAGATTAATATCATCTATGATTTAATAACATACCAATGCATATATATGTATATATTTCCTCTAGGTAATTAAGCTCACTGCTGATATATATATATATATATATATATATATATATATATATATATATATATATATATCCTCTAGGTAATTAAGCTCACTGCTGACTTTTGAGAAAGTATTTGTTCTATGTTTGGCTTCATTAGGTTCTTGAAGAAAAACTTCATAAACTCAAATGGAGACAACGCGAGGTACAGGAAAAGATAAGGTGATCAAAGAATTATTCATTACCCTCTTCTTTACCTAATAATTTAGTATTAAAAATTTGTAAATAGCTCGATTTTTTAGACTATTGGGGGCCGCAAATGCAATAATTTCAATTAAATATGTATGATTTTATCTTTTTCCTTGTAATAGATACTGCAATCCAGCCGTGGCAAAGATCACCTCAGTTTTTGAAGCTGGGGTGTACCAGCAATTCCTCATCAATGCACTTCAACGTATAGAAGAGTCAAAAGTGAGTGCATTTTCACACCCAACCCTTTCTTTTGCAAGCTTAGTTTGTCTAATTATGAAGTTGAAAAGTACATAATTGCGTCAATTTCTTCATCTTGTTCATGGCAGGCCAAGTTGCTAGGTAACCAGATTGCCCAGACAAGTCCTCAGAAGAGTATTGGGCTAACACAGGTAACACAAAGGCAGAGCAGAGCCAGAGAAAATCAGACAAATTCAACTAAACAAAGCCTTATAGTCAACAAAATATGAGAATGTAACAACAACAATAACAACAAAAACATCTCTATATGTGTATCTATTGATGTGAAATGGTGAGTTGTCTATTTTGTAGGTAGCTACTGCTGATATGGAGGACGCGGATTCAGATTCAAGCAGAAAGAGGTACCATATATATGTTGATTACTCAAATAAATCTCTAATCCAAACATGTACAGTTTTTTTAGCAGTTTTTATGGATTTCTGACTAATAATATAGAGGCATTTTGTCACCTTATATCATATACTTTGGTTGTTTTTTTAGCAGTTTCAAACATTTGGTCACAAGTGATCAAGTACTTTGGTTGTTTTATTATATATCTGCAGGAATCTATTAAGTGATGAACACTGTAATGAGAAAAGATGCCACTGGAGGACCTCACTTGAGTCTATGCTTCCTAAATGACCAGAAGCTCTGCAACCAATCTGACGGTGGACAAGATCCCAAGTTGAAAATCAAGTGATCTGTGTATTATATGACATACCTAAAAGATTTCTTATATGGAATGTTTAATTACTTTGCTGTTTTATGTGGTTTAATTGAAAAGCAGCAAATATGTTACTTACCATAAATGTTTTGCTGTTTGTTATTAGATTAATTTTATGGTTCTTGTTTGACCTCCAAAAATCTATGTTGTATCATTCTTTCTTAACTGTTTTGTGTGTGTGTGTGTGTGTGTGTGAAATTCAAGCAAGATTGTAAATGGAGGCAAAAGGGGGTCATGGGCTGCTTAAAGCCAACCCAACGCGAGACAAAAAAGGCCCAAAAAAGCAAGAGCACAAGAGGCTCAAATTGTTAGAGTAGCCCAGCATCCACATGGAATAACCCGGCCCAAGCAGTTGGCCATAAATAGCCGTTAGTAACCCTTTTTTTTAGAATTATAGCCGTTACACAGACTCTGTTTCGGTGAACGAAATGAGCTATAGAAACTTAGCAGTTTTTCAAGATTCCACTCGATAA